AAAAAATATTAAACTTTAAATTTTAATTTCCAAAATTAAGTAGGTGATGATAACTTCGGGTGCCAGTTTCAGCTTCATTACCAAAATAGCGTCAACTGCTATACGAATTTAGTATGTTACATTCTAATACAGTAGAAAACCCATTAACCGGACTTTTCGGTTCTCATTTTCTTTTATTAATTTAAAAAAAAAAATTTTAAACCTGGTTTTTTAAAACTGAAACTAAAAAAATATGAAAAATTTTATCAAGTTATAATATAAAGTTAAATTAATCATTATTTAATGCTAATCTAAACATTGTATGTAAGTTTTATAATATTATAGGAAACGTTGAGTTTTTGTCTCATGATTCTAATAAAATGTTAAGGAAAATTTATAGTTATACCTGCATCCATTAATTCGGATAATGGGCTTTTTACTATATAGTATGTTACGTTCATGATGTAAAAAAAGTATAATTAAAGTTGATACTATTTCACTTACAAATTTTCCTCAGTGCAGCTTCTAATGTTTAAACAGAGAAAAATGTTAATTCATGTATTTTAGATAATAAACGACTTTTCGCAATAATGCGAGAAAAACATTCTCAAAATTTTCTTATGTAGTTGAAACAAATGATAATTTCATATCAAAATTTACAACTTCAAATTAAAAATTCTTTCTAAAAAAATTGTTCAATTTTATTGGATCTGCTATTAAATTATATATTCAATTAAATTTTTCTACTTTTATTTGCCTTTTTTAGCACCAGCTGTATTCAATGACTTTTGTATTTTTCGACACATGTTTTTTGTGATTTAAATTATTACAGTATGTAGTTTTATTAAAGCAAAATTTTTATACTATAATAGACTCTCTGTTTAAATAACTTAGAAGAATGTATATGTCTCACAAAAAAGTGATTCTCATGGTATTAATTATTCATCATCTACTAATTTGAAAAAAGTTTAATCAGAAATTAATGTATCATTACTAATTAAACTTAATAAATACTATGGAATAAATAATAAAATAGAAAATTTTTGAATAACTGTCTCCCTTCTTTTAAATTTAACCATTTTGGACATAGAGAGCAATGATTATTTTAACAATTTTATGGACGAGTCGACTTTTTTGGTATTATTTTAAGAATATAATGTATATAGTAGAATTAATTATTCCTGTTGAATCAGTTGGGGGAATGCAAATCGAATCACTAAGTTTTATCAATAACGTATAGTCCCTGGAATAATTTTATGCATAAAACTAACTGTTTGTGTTAACCACCGAATTTTTTTTTTGTAAATTTAACTTCTTTAAGCTACCCAGCCCTGGGGTTTGAATTTACGTGCGTTTTGTTTATCTGAATACATTTTAATTTTATTAATCGAACTCGGAGGGACTTACTTGAGTCTTTTTAAATCTGCTTAAGAAAGTATTGATTTTAATAGCAAAATAATATAATTTAACACCTTAAGATTAATAGAATTTCAAACTAAAAGAGTCTTACTTTTTTAAGTAAAACATGAAGAAGTGGGCGTTAATGAGGTAAAGTCAGTATGGACAAAAGGAACTGGAAACGAAAGCCTATTTATTTATTGTGTCAGAGCTGCTATTTTATGGTTTGAAAATCATAAAAAACGTTCAATTGTGTGCAATGTTTTAATTTGGGAGATTAATTAAAAGATTCTTTTTAAATTCAGCGAATTCACTTGAAACTATTAACTCAAGGGTTTTCTGGGTCGCTGATTACGAATATAAACTCCGATTTGCAAAATTCAAAATGGCAGAAGATTTTTTAAAAATTCACATGTACTTCAGCGAATTTGCTAATTTTTTTTTAAAAATCTTCTGCCATTTTCGAATTTTGCAAATTGGAGCTTATATTCGTAATCAGCGACCCAGAAAACCCGCAAGTTACAAATTTTAAGTGAAGTCGGAAAATTTAAAAAAAAATCTTTGAAATTAAAACATTGTACACAATTGGGCGTTTTTGTGATTTTCTACTCCTAAAATAGCATCTCTAATACAATAAAGACTAAATAATTTTTATAAAACCCCTCGATATCAAATTTATAAAAATGCAAGAACGTTAATTTTGACCCCTTTAAAATAAAATTATTTAACGAGGTAATATTGTTTTTCTTGTATCATTTTTAACCTGAGAACATATAAGATGGTCAAAAATATTTAATTTTAATTTTTGAAGAGGTTAGAATTTTTTTATTTTGACCTATTGCGCATATTATTGCAAATCCATGCGAGAAGTTGTTTAGAATGGTAAAATATGCATGGAAAAAAATGTTCGCTAAAAAATATTAAAAACTATAAGAGAAGATCGATTTTTAATATTCAAATCTTTAAATTTTGCCGAAATTTCGAAAGCCTTAAATCTTTAATTTTTTTCCAAACTTTATATACTTACGTAATTTGATGCTATTAGTCAAAAAACATTGTTAAAATTGACATTTAGCTCATTTTCGTAGTAAAAACCATAAAAATCATAGTCCGAAGCTTTCATGGTATACTTTATATATACCGAAATAAATGCAAAAAGCCATGATTTTTATAGTTTTTACCATGAAAATGAGCTAATCGTCAACTTTAACTATGTTTTTTCGACTTAGAGCATCAAATTGGAAAAAAATAAAGGTTCAGGAAATCCGAAATTTCGGCAAAATTTAAAGATTTGAATATTAAAAATTGATCTTCTCTTACAGTTTTTAATATTTTTCAACGAAAATTTTTTTCCATGCATATTTTACCATTCTAAACAACTTCTCGCGTGGATTTGCAATAATACGCAATAGGTCAAAAGAAAAAAATTCTAACCTCTTCAAAAATTAAAATTAAATATTTTTGACCATCTTATATGTTCTCAGGTTAAAAATGATACAAGAAAAAAAAATATTACCTCTTTTAATAATTTTATTTTAAAGGGGTCAAAATTAAGGTGGGGTCTCCCCTTAAGAATCCGACCGCCATTTTGTATTTTGAAAATCTGTCTCGTAATCAGCAATCTTAAAAACCCCTGATACTTACAGATTTGTAAACTACGGCAAAAAGTATATCTATATAATAATAAGTTTAGTCATTTTTAACAAATGTCAATAATTTTTTTTATAATTTTCAAATAAATTGTATGCCTTTTAATTTATTTTCCACTGGCTGAAAAACTGAGTTTCTAGTACTTCTTACACATTAAATTAATATTTTACAAAATAAATGGGTCAATCCATTTTACTTCAACTAAAATGATCGCGGACTAATTTTAAAAAATTGGAATGTTCTGCAGAAATGATTTTAATGTTACTAAAGTCACAAAATGAAAAGATTTTTTCAAAAAAAATTTATATTTTCTGTAAAACATGAATTTAAAGTGTAAAAGTTGCTAAAAACTTTCAGTTCTCTGCCAGTAGAAAATAATATAAAAGGCATTTAATTTAATACAAAAAACAAAAATATAACAAATATTGACGTTTGTTAAGAATGTCTAAGTTTATTATTATAAATTGATATAAGCATTTAAAAATATAAAATAATAAATATAATATTTGAAAGTTCATCAGTACAGTAACCTAATTTTTCTATTTTTATTTATAAATAATAGGGAAAGGGGATTATAAAATTAAGTAAAAACTTACAGATTATTAAGAATTTGTGATAAACTTTCAGTTTTTCTTTTAAAAACTTACAGTTTTCTTCTATTTTCTCGTTAAATAAAAAATGTGTACAAAATAAAATTTTCACTTTGCCCATTTTTACGGTTTTCAAATTTCCCCATTATTTGTTAATAAAAATGACAAAATTAGGTTATTTTACCAACGAACTTTGGGATATTTTATTTATTTTATATCTTTAAATGTTTATACCTATCAGTTTATAATAATATATTTAGACATTCTCAACAAATGTCAATAATTTTTAATATAATTTTTATACTTAATTGTATGCCTTCTATATTATTTTATTTATTTTCTACTGTCAGAAAACTAACAGTTTTTAGCATCTCTTACACTTAAAATTTATATTTTACAAAATATACAAAACTTTGTTGAAAAATTGTAAAATATCTATAAAAGCTAAAAATGATATTTTAATTTTTAAAAGATGTAGACTTCTAATTAAAATGATATTAACTATCCATTATTGGCTATATCTCTTAACAACGTTGGAATAATGTCACTATAAAAGTTTTGCTAGAAAATGGAAACTCATTAAGGCGAATCGTTTACTAAATTAAACTCACAGACGTGTAATACAGAAATATTATACAAAATGACAATTTTTATTTGCCTACCAAATAATAGAGCAATTATGAAAATAATATAGTAATACTATTTTTATAATTAATTAAAATGCATTTCTCTGATAAATGGAATGTTTATATGAACGAAACTATATTTAAATTAAAATAATTTTTAATTATTATATTTAATGAACGTGAAAAAAGAACTTAACAAAAATCTAATTTTTTTGAATATTCACAATTTCAAGAACATCTTGATAATGATATTTGTACTTGAACACATTTTTGTCAGGGAAATTGATAAACTGAAACTTGTGGCCACCCTGATATTTAATTGAAGAATTTACGAATATTTAAAATTTTGTAAAATTGAATATTGTAAAGAAATGGATTTGAAAATTGTCAAAGAACTTTTTCGAAAATTATTAAAAATAATCGATTTTAAAAAGTGGTAAAATGTTCTCTTATTTGACTCGGACTGGTTATATTTTTGTCAGCAATTGGTCCGTAAATGGTCCGTAATTTTTCATTTTATCTTGATTATTGCCTCTAAAAAATTACTGAATATTAACCAAAGTACAGATGTTTAGCGTTAAGAAAACTTTTTTTAAAATTTTTACTTTTGTCCACGAGAAGATATTAATTTGAATGAATCAGCTTTGGAAGATGGAAATATATTTTCCGTGTCAAAAATTACAAGAAAAATATTCTGAAATTTTTTAATTGCAATTTTTGTCGTTTAAAGTAAATAGTGATTTTCTTTTTGTTACAGTGATAAATAACCTGTCGGTTTCGTGAAAAAACAACATTTTGAAGATGGAGGCAGCAGCAAAATCGAAAGAGGTGGCTGACGAATACATATCGTCGTTGGCCGATCTTTCAGTCAATAGCAAACCTCTAATCACCATGCTCACAATGCTGGCTGAAGAAAGCATAGAACATGCTCCGGCGATAGTCGGTGCTGTTGAAGCCCATTTGCAAAAGGTTATTAGTCTTTTGTAGTTACACTCTAAGTACAAAAAAAAAATCTTACTGACTTCTCGGAAAGATAATAGTTCTTTGAAAAAGCGGACATTTGTTACATGTGCAGTTATAGCATTTTCGTATCAAGGAAGCAAATGCGTTTAGAGAAAATTTTTCTTTTTCAAAAAAATATTGCATCTTCAAACAGTATTTTTTTTTGTTATATAAGTATTTATATTTATTTTTATTTTTTTTTTATATTTATTTTTTTATTTTTTTTTAATATTTTTTATTTATCAGTATTTTTTTTTTTTGATTTGTTTAAACAAATTTCTTATCAGTTTCTTATTAATTAATATTAAATTAGATAATTTTTCACTTTTCTTCAAACTTCCATCATTTTAAAAAATTACTCTTAAGACAAATTTCAATTTTTGATTTCTTTAATTACTTAGGTCGTTTTCTCCATTATAATAATTATTAAAAATATTTTACTTTATTTTATTATTTTTGATATTTTTAAAATATTTTATTTAATTTCAAATTATTTATTATAAAATAAATAATAATTGAATTTACTTGAATATTTATTCAAGTAAACTTAAAGGAATCTTACACTTAATGAATGTTAACATTCAATTATATTTGAAGTTTTCTTACAAGAATACTTTATAATTGAAGAATAAAATTTAAATCTTGATCGTATTTTTTATATTGGCTCTGTTTATTTTTATATACTCTTTGACATTAGAGATGATCGATAAAAACAAAATTGCTCGTTTTACTTTCTAAAATGAAAAAAAGGAGAAAGCGATTAATCGACTTCATGTTACAAGGAAACAATGAGGTTACAAATTTGATTCTATTTTTTTGTCATAATTTACAACTTATCATGAAAAATTCTTTAATTTGCAAATTATTACTTTTTTTAAGAGGAGAGACCATTGAAATTCTAATTTATCAAATAGTTTACGTTGTTGACAAACATTGATATTTTCTGAACATATTCAGAATAATAAAATTGTCTTATATTATTAAATTTTTTAAAAGTTTTTTTCTAAAGTTCACGGATAAAATTTAAGAGAAAACTTTATAATTGATTATTCGGAATCATAAAAAAAGTTTGAAAAAATATTGTATATGAAGAATAATAAAAATTGAAAAGTAGATAAAATTTTGAATGAATTACTTTTGTTTGTAGTTTGTAGTTTGTTTTAAATATTAAAAATCTGTAGAATTATTCAGAACCGTGAAAAGAATGTCAGAAAGAATTTTTTTCTCATGTAAAGAAAATGTTAAATTTGGTCATGAAAAATATTATGAGTATTTTAAATTTTTAGTTTAAATTTAAAAAAAAAATTTTTTTATTTTTTTTATTTTTCCAAAATTTTTTTTTTGAAGTTTTTCTTATTTTTCACAAAGTATAATTATATTCTAAGAATATCTGAAAGTAAACACTCCTAAAATATGTAACTTTCTCTGGTCCTTCGTCTTAAAGAACAATTTTATTTTATTTAATATAATTATAGAATTAAACATAAGCCAGCAAAAAAATTTTCTCGAAATAATGTTTTTTATCTCAGGAATCACAGACTTGCCTTTTTATCTTTTTAAAATATTTAAACATTTTAAATCTTTTTCAATTCAATGTTTAATTTAGCAAAATTTTTATTATTTCCTATGGCAAAAAGTTTTGTTTTTAATTTATTAAAATATTTATCTATTAAAAGTTTAGTCGAGTCTCAGTTTAATTGATTAAAATTTTGAATGAATAGAATTTTAGTCGATTCTACTATTAACTAAAATTTCTTAATAATTTACATGAATTTATATTTCAGTTAATCTAAATTTTTAATTGTTTCTTAATTATATTTATTTTAGAATTTTAATTAATTATAAATTAAAACAGCTCAAAATTGGATTAATTTGAATTTCAATTTTTTTCCAATTTTTTTTTAATTTTAATTCGTCAAAATTTTCAATTGTTTTAATCTTAATTAACTTGAAATTCATTTGCTTATAACTTTAACAGGGTTGACAATAAAATTCGATTTTGTTCTTCTTTGACATTTTCCGTGAATTGTAGACATAAAATTGAGTTTTCCATTTTATCCCTATTACTAAAAATTCAAGGAAAGTTCAATTATAAAAAATGATAATTGCTAGAAGCAAAAATTTGTTGTACAATTTAAAGAGTTTCAATCTATTTTAAAAAGAAAATTAATTACTTTCGCTAACTTCGCTCGATTATTTAAAAAATTTTCAATAACTTTTTTTATAAAATTTAATTATTTTTAATAGAATTTTAGGAAATTTCAATTATTTGTTCATAAAGATTAAATTATCTTTAAACAATAGAATTAAAACATTTTGAAAACCTAATTTTTCAAAATTTTAAATAAAACTTTTCGGAACTTCGATTTTTTCTAAATTTTAATTTTGAATCTTTTGAAAATTAACTAATTAATAAAAATTTTAATTGTAACTCTTTAGAAATTTAATTTTTTAAATGCAATTTAAACTAATAAAATTCTTCAAAAAATATAATTATTTCTAATTCAATTTCACAAAATTCAATTTTAATGTTATAATTCTTCAATGAAATGTTTCTATAAAGTTGCTTGATTTTAAAAAATTAAATTAAAATTTATATTAATATTAAAACAATATTGAAATTTTCAAAAATGTTATTTTAAATGATCCTAAAGTTCTGAACGTTCAAAACTTGTGGATCGTTATTTTAAAACCTTCTGAAATTCAATTAATTTTTAAAATTGCAATTGTTTTCAACTAAAATCTTTTCTCAGTTTTTTATAATCTTCAATTTTTTTCTTAAATTTTAATTTTGAATCTTTTGAAAATTAACTAATTAATGCAATTTTTAATTGGAACTCTTTCGAAATTAAATTATTTTAAATGCAATTTGAACTAATAAAATTCTTTAACAAATATATAATTTTTTTCAATTCAATTTCACAACATTTAATTAATGTTATAATTCTTCAATAAAATATTTCTAAAATGTCAAGCAACTTTAAGAAATTAAATTAAAATTTCTATTTTTCTTAAATTTTAAATAAAATTAATGAAAACTGAATTAATATTTTAATAAATAATAATTAATTATTAATTTCTTTAAAACAATTGAAATTTTTAAAAAATTACAAAATAATAATTATTTTGTATTTTTCTGATAAAATTTTCACTCTAATTCATTGTATTTTCAATTAATTTTTATTTTAATTCATCTTGAGGATTTTGTTTCGAGTCATTGTTTATTCAACCTAAATTGCACTTAAAAAATTTTTTAATTTACTTGAATTTTCTGCTCTTTATTTATTTAAATTGTTATTTAATAAAATTTGTATTTTATTTCCTACTTTGGATTCATTCACATCTTTTCTTTTTTTTTTGTTTTGAAGTTATTTAACGAAATTTATTTAGATTCAATTTTCGTTCAACTGAATTGTTATTTTATTGATATTTTATTTAAACCTATTTTCATTTTACTTTGTATTAAATTATCAAAATTTGCGTTTAAATAAGTTATTTCTTTTTCCATCTAATAGAGGGATGTAAATTCCATGCTTTTGATTTGTATTTCACTGAATCGAATTTTCTTTTTTAAAACTTTTTTAGTTGGTCTATCATAGAAAATAAATAGAATGTAAAAAATTCATGAAATATAAGGAAAAATGTGTAGAAATATTGATTGTATTTTTATATTTATTTATTTATTTATTTTTTGTGATTCTTTTCTTTTTTACTTATGGAAAATATTCACTTTTTGATTTATTCTTTTTTTCTCTTTCTTTAAAGGTACTGTTAATAGGTAATAAAATATTGTCGGTTTATAATCAAAGATTCAAATTTTTTAAAATTCAGTTATTAAGTACATAATTAATTATTTTCAAAACAATTTTCATAGAATTTCACGAAAGGATACAATTATTTAAAAAAAAAAATTTTATAACATTTTTCGAAAGAATTCAATTCTTTACTAAAATTTTGAAAAACTTCTTCAAAACAATTCAATTAACAATTCAATATTTGTGAGTTGTAAAATTCTTCACAAGAATTAAATTATTTTTTTAAATAGGTAATAAAATTCGTCTTTGGAATTCAATTATTTTTTAATAACATTTTTCGAACGAATTCAATTATTTAAAAAAAATCTTCTAAGAAATTCAATTATTTTGAAAAGTTTTGATGAAATTCTTTGTAAATTTCAATTATTTTCAAAATTTTCAATTAGAATTATTTAAAAAAAACTGCATTATTTTCAAGAAATTTAAAAAAAAATTTTCAAAAAGATTTAATCATTTACGAAAACTTTAATAAGCTTGTTTAAAAGAATTTAATTTTCTATCAATCATTTTAATAAAATTTAATAATAAAATTATTAATTACAATTTCTAATAAACACGATTATATTAAAAACTTAAAGAAATTCTTCGTAAAAGTCAATTACTTTTAAAATCTTTAATAAAATTTATTAAAAAAAACTCCATTATTTTGAAAAAATTCAAATAAATTTTTCAAAACAATTCAAAAACATTAATAAAATTCTTGCTAATAATTAAATTACTTGCAAAAATTTTAATAACATTCATTATTCGTCGAAAGAATTAAATTTTGAGAATCATTTAAATATTCAATAAATTAATTATTTTTGTATTTAAATAATTCAATTTTTGTAAAATTTTCTAATAAACATTGATTTAAAAATGACTTTTAGTTAAAATTTTAGGTAATAATTGAATTTTTAAAGTATTAGAATTTGAATTTTGAAAAACTTCTTCGAAACAATTCAATTATTTCTATGAAATGTAAAATTCTTCGCAAGAATTAAATTATTTTTATAAATAAAATTTTTCTTTGGAATTAAATTATTTTCAATACAATTTTAATAAACATTTTCGAACGAATTCAATTATTTAAGAAAATTTTTCTAAAAAATTCAATATATTATTTTGAAAAGTTTTGATAAAATTTTTTGTAAATTTAAATTATTTTTAGAATTTTCAATTAGAACATTAGAAGTATTAAGAAAAACTATATTAGGATTAAAAAAATTCTTTAAAAAGATTTAATTATTTACGAAAACTTTAATGAACTTGTTTTAAAGAATTTAATTTTCTATTAATAATTTTTATAAAATTTAATAATAAAATTATTAATTACAATTTTTAATAAACCCGATTATTTTAAAAACTTCAAAGAAATTCTTCATAAAATTCAGTTACTTTGAAAATATTTAATAAAATTTATTTAAAAAAAACTTCAAAATTATTATCATTTAAAAACCTCGAAGAAATTTTTCATAAAATTCAGTTACTTTCAAAATATTTAATGAAATTTATTAAAAAAAACTTCATTACTTTCAAAAAATTCAAATAAATTTTTCAAAACAATTCAATTATTTAAAAAAAACATTCAATTATTCATTAAATTAATTATTTTTGTTTTTAAATAATTGAATTCTTGTAAAATTTTCTAATAAACATTGATTTAAAAATTAATTTCAGTTGAAATTTTTGGTAATTAGTTAGAATTTTAAAAGCATCATAGCTACTGTGATTCTTGTCATCTTCATTTGCTTCCAAGATATTTGAGAATGATTTAACTGATTTTTGAAACTGATTATTTAGAAATACATTTTTTTTTTAAATAGTAGACATTTTGTACACTTTAAAATATTTTCCTTTACCTCATCAGTAATTTACATTAAGCCAATTTTTTAGCTTTAAAAGAGGTAAATACACTTAACATGCACTTTTTCTATATATTTTACATGAAATTAAACATTTTTTTCCTAAATATAAATATCATCGTTTAGCCAGCTACGCAAATGTCGTTAATGTACAAAAAAAAGGACTGGCCTTTTACCTCACACAGTTGTCTTTTATTCAAGAGATGTTTCTAAATATTTCATCAAATTTTCAACTGTGTTCTAATTTATATGATTATTTAATATATTTACTGCTATGCATTGTTTAATTTGAAAATTTATTACAATTTCATGATTCATTGCAAAATGTCATGTATTTGTAGTAAGTAAATTGATTATTAAAAATGTTATGTTAAAAAAAAAAAAAAAAAAAAAAAAAAATTAATGGCAGTGAATGTATTAAAATAAATTTAGAGTTGACAATGAATTTTATCGTTATTAAGATGAAGATTCTGTGATATTATATTCAGTATTATGAATATACCATATAAAGTGGAAATAAAGTGGCATTTTGTTCTATTTAATATTCACACTACAATCATTTGTTTCTTAAACATTCTTTTCTCTTTGAAATCACTTCTACATTTCGACGTGAACTCACTAGGGACAATGCAAAACATGGAAATCAATATTATCTTTCTCTCTCTCTCTCTCACTCACTCTTCATACATTGGTTAAATAACGAAAAAGAAGCATTGCACCGATGCGAGTTTCATTTTCAAAGTAGAAGAAAGTGAATTCATCGAATATTACCGAAAAAAAAGTAGGGAAAGGTGGGGGAAACTTTAAACCAATGGGACAATTTTAATTCAATTTCAATTTCATAATTTCATATTTTCTTCATTTTATTTATTATTCTTTATCTTGGCATTTTTTTCAAATTAAAAAAATTAATTTATTTCTATTTTGCTTCCCTAAAGTTAATTTAAAAAATTTTTAAAAAGTATTTAAATTTTCTACTTTACATTATTTGAATTATTGATAATTTACAATAATCGAAATATTCTTTATATTAATTTATATTTTGATTCAATGCGTTAACAAGTGATTTTTCGTGTTTTATGAAAAAAAAGTGAGTATAGCGAGGAAACGGAAAACGTGGACAACTATTTACGAAAACTTGTTTAATTCAAAAGCAGTTTTTTAAAAAATGAACCTAGATTATAAGAAGATTGTGTACGTGCGTGTGATTGTAGTGATTTAAAAGAAAGTGCACGGAGCCGTTCAGAACAATTTTTTTTTTCTATCTTCCCAGTTTTCGAAAAAAGCATCTCTATAAAGTATAATTAGTAAATATGTAGTAACATAAATTCAATAAATAATAATTTTAAATAAATTATTAAATAAATTTTTAAATAAATTTTTAAATAAATATTTTAGTAAATTTGAAAAACATTCAAGTCAACAGTCAAGATTTTATTAATTTTGCTAAATAATTTATTATTATCTTAAAAAAAAAGTTATTATTTTTTTTTTTGAAATTCAACAGATCCGATAATTGGATTCGATTATTAAAGTAATAAATTTTTGAAAAATAAATGAATTTAAAAAATATTTTCCTTAGTTTGAGAGTTTATTTGAAGGAAACAAATTCACAGCAGAGTCCTTTAAACATATGTTCCGTTTTGCTCTATCTTTTTCTGCTGTGCAATTTGGTTGAACGGGTCAGTAGAATAGATTGTTGTTGTGTTTTATTAGGTGAGAAGTGACTGCAAGCTACCAGTTCTATATCTCATCGACTCAATCGTCAAAAATGTCAAAGGAAATTATCTAGGCCTATTCTCTCATAATATTGTCAATACATTCTCTAACGTCTTTGAAGAGGTAATTTACATTTTAAAACTTGTTTCTAATTTTTATTTTGTGTATTTTCAGGGTTGCCACTGTTCAGGGAAATCAGGGAATTTAGGAATTATCTTTAAAAATAATAAAATTCTTCTCCAAAATTCAATTATTTTCAAAAGTAAGAAAATTCTTCGCAGAATTTCAGTTATGTTATAAAATTAAAAAATATATTCTCGTCAAAATTTCAATTATCTTTAAAAATAATAAAATTCTTCTCCAAAATTCAATTCTTTTCGAAAGCAATAAAATTCTTCGCAAAAATTCAATTATGTTCAAAAATTAAAAAAAAAAATCTCTTCAAAATTTCAATTCTCTTTTAAAAAAATCAAATTCTCAAAAATTTTAGTAAAATTCTTGGAAAAATTTTAATTATTTTCAAAAATTGGTCTCAATTCAATGATTTTCACTATCTATTTAGATACATTTTTTTAGACGAATTCAATTATTTCAAAAAAATGTTGATAAAATTCTAAGCAAACATTAAATTATGTTCATAAATAATAAAGATTTCACAGGAATTCAATTATTTACAAATTTTTTTTTAAAATTTCTTCGCAATAATTCAATTATTTTCATGAATAATAAAACTCATAGAATTTAAATTATTTTTAATACAATTTATAATCAAATTACTTGAAAATTGTAATTATTCTTCAAAATTTTATAAAAATTCGCCAAAAGAATTCAATTATTTAAAAATTTGTTGATAACATTTTTTATCAGAATTCAATTTTAAAAAATATTAATTTATTCAATAAACTATTTATTTTTGTATTTAAATAATTGAATCCTCGTAGAATTTTGTAATAAAAAATTATTTAAATATGAAATTTAGTCAAAATTTTAGATAATAATTGAATTTTAAAAACATTATAGCATGAATTTTTAGGAATAATTGAATTTTGGAAAAGTTTATTTAAAATTTTTGTTAACTTATTTCCAATTTTTATTTTCAAAATTATTTTAATAACATTTGATGAAAGGATTCAATTACATTTGAAAATGTTTTAATACAATTTTTCAAAAGAATTCAATTATTTTCAAAAAAAATTTTAATAAAATTTTTGAACGGATTCAAATAGGTATTTAAATAAAATTTCCTAAGGAATTAAATTATTTTGAAAAGTTTTTATAAAATTCTTTGTAAATTTCAATTAATTTCAGAATTTTTATTTAAAAGTATTAAAAAAAAACATTATTTTCAAGAAATTTAAAAAATTCTTTAAAACAATTTAATTATTAATGAAAACTCTAATTTTCTAAATTCTTTTCTATTAATCATTTTAATAGAATTTTATAATAAAATTATTAACTACAATTTTTAATAAACACGATTATTTTAAAAACTTAAAATAAATTTTTCGTAAAATTCATTTACTTTTAAAATATTTAATAAAATTGATTAATAATCTCTATTATTTAAAAAAAATTCAAATAAACTGTTTGAAGCAATTAAATTATAAAAAATTTTAATAAAATTCTTTCTAAGAATTAATTTATTTTCAAAACTTTTAATAACATTCATTATTCGTCGAAAGAATTAAAATTTAAGAATCATTTAATTATTTAATAAATTAATTATTTTTCTATTTAAATAATTGAATTCTCGAAGAATTTTCGAATAAATAAGGATTTAAAAATTAATTTCAATTAAAATTTTAGGTAATAATTGAATTCTTGCAACGGATTTTATTACATTTTTTTAAATAATTGAATTCTTTTGAGAAAATTTTGAAAATAATTGAAGTTTTGCCAAGAATTTTATTCAAATTTTTAAAAATAATTGAATTTTAGAGAAGAATTTTATTATTTTTTAAGATAATTGAAGTCTTAAGACGAATTTTATTAAAGTTTTTTTTTTAAATAATTGAATTCTTTTGAAAAATTTCATTACAATAGTGGATTTTGAAAATATTTGAATTTCAGAGAGAGAATTTCATTATTTGTGAAATTTAATTAAATTCTTGCAAGAAATGTTTAAAAATAATCACATTTTTCTCAAAATTTATTTAAAATTGTATTAAAAATGATGAAAATCCTATAAAAAATGTTATTATTTATGAAAATAATTGAATTCTTACAACGAATTTTATTAAATTTTTTTTAACAATTGAATTCATGTGAAAAATTTTATTACACTTGTAAAAATAATTGGATTCTTGCGAAGGATTTTATTAAACTTTTTGTAAATAATTAATTATTTTTTTAAATTTTTGGATATCTAGATTATTAAAAGTTGTTGAATTTCATAAAGCTTTGAATTTGAAATTTTTTGATAATCATAATTCCTAAGGATTAATAATAATTTAATATTTATTCAAAAAAGAAGTTATTAATGTTTTTGAATAATTTTACAATTAAAAAAATTCGTCAATAAATGTAATAGAAAATTTTTTTAATCATCTAATAATTTTTAGTGTGAATCAGAATATTCTTTAAGGTCAGGGAAAAAGTCGAAATTTTATCTGGAAATCAAGGAAAAACAAAATTAATTTTTTGTGGCAATCCTGTAATAAATAATTTTTGTTATGTCAACGCTCAGCATCGAGAACTATTTTTCAAGAGGTTTTAGAGATGAAAAATGCCTCTAATTTCACTTTTTAAAAAATAAGTAAAGTATTATTTCAAAATAAGTAAAGGAAACTTTTTTCTTCTGAAACCTTAGAAAAAATTTTCTTTTTTGCGAAAAAAAGATTTTTTGACGCTGAGCGTTAAAGCTTTTTAGTTTGCAAGTTTTTTTTTTTTTTAAGGGAAAGCTTTTATAATTAAGAAAAAGAAAAGAAATTGTAAGGAAGGAAATTGATGAAATTGTTTTATCGTCAAGATTTATAATTAAATTTTGTTAGTGACAAAGAATAATGAACAGAAGGAAAGATTTGCGGTAAGATTTGCATAGGCTTTATGAGGAAAAACTATAAGATAATCGTCTGATCGAACGAGGTCACTGACTTGAACTTATACTCATGTAAAGCACATCTTGAGTTATTAAATTATTGGTGATCAACCTTCGTTTCAATATCTTGTGGCGAACATCGATAGCCATTAGATTATTCAACAGGGTTTCCATAGGCATTGAAAATCGAAAAAATTTCCCTTATTGTTATTATAATATTATTGCATTAAAAATAATGTTAAACATTAAAAAATTTTCTGAAAAAAGATGTATTTTCTTTAATAATCGCTGAGAATTTTTTTTTTGTTATTGTGAAACGTCACTCATTTGTAATTTATTTTGTAAAAATACTCATTTGTAAAAAATAAAAAAAAAAATGTTGTACTTACAGAAAAGTGAAATTTATAAATGAAAACCTGTTGAGTAATTAAAAAATTCAATTTCCTTGAAACTTGCAATTTTTATTCTTAATTTCGTGCACGTTATTTTTTTTATCTCCTCAATTTTTTTTCATTATAATTTTTCTATTTTGTAAGAGTATTTTTGTAAATAGCATTTCTATTAAAATTGGAGTAAAATTGATTGATTTTCCTTTCGAATGTTGATGTTTAAATGATAATATTTCTGTTGTTATTTAGGTTGATGAAGCAACAAGGGCGAGTATGTTTAAATTACGACAGACGTGGTACAATGTTTTTCCAGCAAAAAAATTGTATTTATTAGATGTTAGAGTTAATGCCGTTGATCCAGCTTGGCCAATTCGTCCATTACCTGCGAGTATATCTGGCAGTTCGATTCACGTCAATCCTAGATTTTTCTCAGTGGTGAGAATATATTTTTTATTTTGCTTTTCTTCACTGAAAATTTCAAGAGTAATATAAATGTATAACTCATTTTTTACAGCCGAGACAAAATTCAAGTACTCCAAGTACTACGCCCATTTCTTCGACAAATTTACAATCAAGCAACAATACATTAACAAGTGAAGCGGCAATGAGGGAGCAACTTTTAAAGAAGGAGCGTGAACTTTTGGAATTACAGAAGAAAAAAATTGAACTTGAATTACTTCAGGCAAAAGCTAGTTTGGAACAGCAGCAAAGACAGTTATACAAACAAGTCGTCAATATGAAGACTGATCAGGTGAGAAAAATATCTTTTTCTTTTTTTTTCACCTTACGTTTCGAGCAAAGATTTGTCAAACGAAGAATATGAATGTTTTTAATTTTTTGAATTAGAATTAATTATTTAATTGCTATCAACAAGTTTTTAACTTTAATACATTTTTGGGTCTTATGCGAAAATAGAAAATATTTAGAAAATATTTTCTAATATTTCTAATAATGTCTTAAATATTTTTAAGTGATTTTTTTAATTAAAGAAGAAAAAGGAACTTATGAAATAAATTATTTTCTAGACTGTGATGCCAACACCTCCAGCTTCGTCAGCAGAGAGCAATTTATCATCAGAAAAATCTAATTCACCTAGTCAAGCACCAAATAAATCTAAACAGGTATTTAGGCAATTAAATAAAAATGTTTTTTTATTTTTAATAGTTATTAAGTGAATAATAAGTAAATATAATTTCTTTTCGATAAATGAGACAAACTAATCATAATATTCCACAACTTTTTTGGGTTTGAGTATTAATTTTTTATTTCATTATCTCGTTCACTAAATTTCTTGATTTCTTTAATTTTTATTCTTAAAAAAATTTTTAAATTAAATTAAATTTTTTTATTTTTGTCATTACAATTTTTATTTGTAACTAGCAAATGTAACGCCCGAAACGTAGTATCCCACTTATTATTGTTTTGCAAATTAAAAAATTTTATACATTTCTAAATATAATTATCAATTTTTGAATAATATAATATTCATATTTTTTAAAATTCACCTATTAAGTAAATAATTAATTATTCTTGTTTATTATTTTCAAAAATTTCAATAAAATTTTCTAAGAAATTAAATTATTTTGAAAAGTTTTGATAAAATTCTTTGTATATTTCAATTATTTTCAAAATAATATTAATAGAATTTTACGAAAGGATTCAATTATTTGAAACAAAAATTGTAATACAATTTTTCGAAAGATTTCAATTATTTTCTAAAATTTTGAAAAAAATTCTTCGAAACAATTCAATTATTTTTATGAATGGTAAAATTTTTCTTAAGAATTAAATTATCTTTATAAAAACTAAAATTCTTCTTTGGAATTCAATTATTTTCAATACAATTTTAATAAAATTTTTCGAACTGATTCAATTATTTAAAAAAATTTTTTTAAGGAATTAAATTATTTTGAAAAGTTTTGATAAAATTCTTGGTAAATTTCAATTATTTTCATAATTTTGAATTAGAAATATTTAAAAAAAAAGCTACATTATTTTCAAGAAATTTAAAAGAATTCTTCAAAAAGATTAAATCATTTACGAAAACTCTAATAAGCTTGTTTTAAAAGAATTTAATTTTCTATTAATCATTTTAATGAAATTATTAATTCCAATTTTTAATAAACACGATTTTCAAAAAAAAAAAAATATATATATATTATTATTATTATTTTTTTTATATTAAAATATATATTATTGTATTTTCAAAACTTAAGAGAAATTCTTCATAAAATTCAGTTACTTTTGAAATATTTAATAAAATTTATTAAAAAACTTTATTATTTTCAAAAACTGTAAATAAATTTTTCAAAATAATTTAATTATTTAAAAAAATTTTAATAAAATTCTTGCTAAGAATTAAATTACTTGCAAAAATTTTAATTACATTCGTTATTCGTCGAATGAATTAAATTTTAAGAATCATTTAATTATTCAATAAATTAATTATTTTTGTATTTAAATAATTGAATTCTCATAGAATTTTCTAATAAATATTGATTTAAAAATGAATTTCAATTAAAATTGTAGGTAATAATTGAATTTTAATAGCATTATAGCATAAATTATTACAAATATTTGAATTTTGAAATGTTTTTAAATTAAAATCTTTGAAAATTTGAATTTTTTAAAAAATATTTCATGTTTTTATTTTCTAAATATTTAATTGCAGAATTTCCGAATAATCGAAATTTCGTAAAATTGAATTGTAAACAAATGGTTTTGAAAATTCTCAGAGAACTTTTTAAAAATTATTAAAAATAATTAACTTATTGATTTAAAGAAGAATTTTAGTTAAAAATTCTAGAAAATAATAATTAAATTGAAATGATGAAAATAATTTTGAAGAAGTTACAGTGACAACATTCTTATAATATTATAAAAAAATAATGATTTAATCACTGAGTCATATAAAAAAATATAAAAATTTCTAAATAAATTAAAGTAAAAAATTTTTTTGAGTATCTAATAACTTTTAGAGTGTATCAAAACATTCTTTCATTTATTATTTTCAAAAATGTTCCTCATTTCAATGTTTTTCAATATCTACTATTTTAATAAAATTTTTCCAAAACAATCTAATTATTTAAAATTTTTTTAAATAATTTTCATAAAATAATAAACATTTCACAAGAATTTAATTATTTACAAATTTATTATAAATTTCTTCACAATAATTCATTTTTTTTATTTTCATAAATAATAAAACTCATCAAAGAATTTCAATTATTTTTAATACAATTTTAATCGAATTCTTCGAATAATGTAATTACTCTTACAATTAGAATGTTTATTAAAATTCGTCATCAATTTAAAAATTTGTTGGTAAAATTCTTTATGAGAATTAAATTTTAAGAAACATTCAATAATTCAATAAATTGTTTATTTTTGTATTTAAATAATTGAATTTTAATAAAAATTGATTAAAAAATGAATTTCAGTTAAAAGTTTAGATAATGATTGAATATTAAAAGCAATATAGCGTGAATTTTTATAAATAATTGAATTTTAAAATTAATTTTTTTGAATAAGGTTAATTGAATTTTTTTTTTAATAGAGGCATTTCACGTCAGAAATATCACGATTTGCAAAGGGTATGCCGATTTGCGCAAAACTTCGTGGGATTATAGTTCTATATAAGAGACTTCTTTCCCCCAAATTTTTTCAAAGAAAAATTAAAAATTGTTGAAGATACGCCATTTTGAATTTTAATATTAATTTTATAAAATTTTGAATATCTCGGAATTAAAAAAAAATTTTTTAAACAATTTTTTGTTTATTTACTCCTCTATGAGAAAAATGTTATTAATATATTTGAATTCCTTATGAATTCACCTTTAATTTCATAAAAAAAATTGTTTAAGAAAATTAAAAAAAAATTTTTTATGTAAAAATTAATTTTTTTTAATAACTTTACTTGCATTTCAAAATATATACTTTTACATGAATAATGTGTAAATTTCATAAAAATCCATAAACAATATTCCAAGATATTCAAAATTTTATAAAATTAATATTAAAATTCAAAATGGCGTATCTTCAACAATTTTGAATTTTTTTTTGAAAAAATTTGGGGGAAAGAAGTCTCTTATATAGAACTATAATCCCACGAAGTTGGTGACGTTGGTGACGTTTACAATGATTTAGAAGAAAAAATAATTTTGTCTTAATAAAAATTTTACAATGTTTCTAGAACAAAAAGTTAAAAAAGAATATTTTGTAAACGTAAAATATTGTTTTCTGAATGAAAAACATCATATCTCATATCTCTTATTATGTCGATTCTTAAAACCTGGAAACAAATTTTTAGAAGGCCTGGAAATGTCAGGGAAATTTTTTTCAGATTAGTTGTAGACACCCGGTTAAAGCATATGTGACGCTCCACGAGAAAAGGGACCTTATGACAAGAGTAAATAAGGTCCCTTTTCTCGTGGAGCGTCACATATATTGCTTCAAAAGGCAAAATTTCTTTTTTGTATTTATGAAATAAATTGCAGTGAATAGTAAAATTAATTTTATTCTTCCAAACAGTTCCCAACGGCAACAGCGACTCTTTTGAAAAAAGCTTCTGCAGCAAGTAACGGTCCGCGGATAGCGCCAGCCAGTAGCATCGCAGTGGCGTCTGCGAAGCCAGTCTCGCGAGATCCGAGGCTGAAGGTTCCGCCGGTGGAGGCAGATCAGCAGAACGTCCCTCAGGTGGATCCCCGTCTTCGGCCGGGGAACAGCAGCGAGGCGGAAGTTTGCGGAGAGGAGAAGCCACAAGCACCGATACCCACAGTCCTTTCGGAGCAACTCAAGCAGCAGATGATCTTGAAACAGGCCGTGACTAGCACTGACAAGAAACCTCCGTTGTCGCTCGACGACGACGACGACGACGACTCCAGTATCTCAAATTTAATCGTTAGTAGTAACAATAATGCTAATGCAAACCTCAACAATAACAATAAAAATTCCAGTGGTAATGCAAATAAAGATGCTGTCGTCTCGCATCGAAAAAGCCAAAAAAAAGAACCCCGCTCGTCTAGTAATAGTAATAACTCAATCGTTAGCAGTTTGAAAGTTATTCAGAATCAGTCGGTAAATAATAGTAGTAGTAGTAGTAGTTCTTGTTCGGCATCGACAGCGAGTATTCGAGGAGGCGAGTCAAATTCCAAGTCGTCAAAGGACTCAAAAAGTCCCAGTAAACGTAGTTCATTAACATTGTCCGACAGTGCCTCGTCTTTTGCCTCTTCCAAATCCTCGCACAGAAAATTAGGTTCCAAATCACGTTCAAAGCAGCCGCATTCATCGCCGAGTAAAATTCAAAAAATCGACAACAGAGATCAAAGTCCAGTTAGGTCGAAATCGCGCGAAAAAGAAAATGAGGACAATAGCTCCTCGTCCTCGCGAGCCTCACCCCAATCCTCATCCCAATCATCATCCAAGAGTCGTAAGAAAACATCGTCCAAATCTCGTAAGCGTAGTCCGAGTCCTTATCGAATTCCGAGGCGCAATGATATCATCAAATCCACGGGCATTTTGAATAATTCCATCGGCGGCCTCAACGAGGAGGAGCAGTCGTCAGGTTCGTTGATAGTGTCGCCTCCGCATCCGCCCACGTTCAAGGAGATCAGACCCGCGGCCAGGCAGAGGAACTACATGAGGCGCAACAAGGACGGAAGTCTAAGTCCAGAGCCAAGTGTCACCAGTCCGACGACGAGCAATCAGCAGCAGCAGCAGCCTCTCTCTGAATCGCTCCTGGACGCGTCGACCAAGGACGAGGATCTCAGGGGTTCGCTTCTCATACCCGTCGCCACGACCACTTCCAGTCTCGCCGAAAAGAGTGAGTATCGTCTTCCTTCAAAGACATCAACGACTAATTTTTTTTTCATCTGCCTTCTTTGTAGATTCGTACATCTTAAGGTTGTTGTTTAACATTGGTTCAAGGAAGGCGAACTATAAAGTAAGTGGCGCAATGATTGACACGAGACATATTCCATTCACATTCCTCGAAAATAAAACATTATTTCAGGTATTTCATTATTTCGTTATTCAATTATTCTTTCAGAATTTTTAAAAGGATCGTTTTAATGGAATATGCCAAGTTTGCTTGAGTTTTTCCTGTTTTTCAATTCTCCTTTTTTGTTCGAAATATTTTCTCATCGCTTATCAGTTTATTCGCTGCACGCTTTTTTTTTCTTTTTTTTATAATTACAGGGATCATAGTTAGTCGCCTTTTTTCCTCTTTTACCCTTTTTTATCCCCTTAAGGGAAGGGTAAACCTATATTTTCAACTATATGAAGAAATTATTTTAAATATTTAATAAAATTATTGTTATAGTAATTTTTAAAATTAAAAAAAATTTTTTTTTTTTATTTTAATTTTCTAATTTAATGGTCATAAAAAAAATTGGTCAGAAAATATTTTTATTTATTTATTTAGATAAATATATACGGGCTGTGCTCATTCGTACAGTGTATTTTGATCCTTTTTGAATTTTTATTTTTTCTAAAAATTGATAGAGTTGGAAATCCATACGCAATTTTGTAGAAAATATGTTTTTGTATTCATAAAAAAATTGCCAAATGAAAAAATTAATAATTAGAAAAGTTTTATCATTCAAAAAAAAAAAAAAAAATAGTTTTCAGGTTAAGAATTTAAAAAAATATGATTATTATTAAATTTTATTATAAGAAAACTCATTTTTTTCCAACTAATTTCAGAACATAAAAACAAATGAGTGTTTGTATAATAAAATTTAATAATAATCATATTTTTTTAAAATTCTTAACCTGAAAACTATTTTTTCTTTTAGAAAATTACAAATGATTGCAGAAATTCAATTATTTTCGAAAATTATAAAATTTTTCGCAGAAATTCAATTATGTTTAAAATTTTTTTTTAAATTCTTGGCAAAATTTCAAATATGTTGAAAAATTTAAAAAAAAATATTCTCTTCAAAATTTCAATTATCTTTAAAAATAATAAAATTCTTCTCCAAAATTCAATTATTTTCAAAAGCAATAAAATTCTTCGCAAAAATTCAATTATGTTCAAAAATTAAAAAAAATTCTCTTCAAAATTTCAATTCTCTTTTAAAAAAATCAAATTCTTCTCCAAAATCCAATTATTTTCAAAAATTGTTCTCAATTCAATGATTTTCAATATTTATTTTAATAAATTTGTTCAGATGAATTCAATTATTTAAAGAAAATTTTGATAAAATTCTAAGCGAACATTAAATTATTTTCATAAATAATAAAAATTTTCTAGAAGAAGTGAAGAATTTCAATTAGTTTTAATACAATTTAAATCGAATTCCACGAGAAATTCCATGAAAAATTTTATTAAAATTCATCAAAAGAATGCAATTAATTAAAAATTTGTTGATAAAATTCTTTATCAGAATTCAATTTTAAGAAACATATAATTATTCAATAAATTGTTATTTTTGTATTTAAATAATTGAATTCTAGTAGAATTTTCTCATAAACATTGATTTAAAAATGGATTTCAGTTAAATTTTTAGATTATGTTCAAAATTAAAAAAAGATTTATTAAAAAAATTTTATTAAAATTCGTCAAAAGAATTCAATTATGTTGATAAAATTCTTTATGAGAATTAAGTTTAGAAAAACATTCATTTATTGAATAAATTATTTGTTATGGTATTTGAACAATTGAATTCTCGTAGAATTTTCTAATAAAAATTGAGTTAAAAATAAATTTTTAATTAAATTTTTAGGTAATAATTGGATATTAAAAGTATTACATCATAAATTTTGAAAAAGTTTCAAATCAAAATCTGTGAAAATTTGAATTTTTCATACTTTTAACTGACAATTATATAGAATTAATTTTTCTAAAAATTTTAATTCAATTTTTTTGAAATTATTTTAAGTTATTATTTTCTAAATATTTAATTGAAGAATTTCCGAATAATTGAAATTTCGCAACGAATTTTTATTACATTTTTTTTTAAATAATTGAAATCCTGTGAAGAATTTTATTATTTATGAAAATAGTTGATGTCTTGCAACGAATTCCCTTTTTTACCTAATAATAATACGTGAAAAAAATTACTTTGACCCCTGTAATTAAACTTTTGCAATCTCTAGCAATTCAATAGAATTTACGAAATTTATTTTTTCTTGACCTCACTCTTTTAATTTCTTTCATGTGGATGGAAAAAATTGTGTTAATTAAAAATTGTTTAAAAGTATTTATAAATATCAAATGTTTTCCTTCTTATTTTCAATAAACTGATAGAATTCTAAAAAAAAGGTACCTTGACGACAAAAAAATGTTAATTTTTTAATTTTAATGTTAATTTTAATGTTAATTTTTTTGTCGTTAAGGTACCATTTCTTCACAATTTTATCAGTTTATTGAAAATAAAAAGGAAAAAAAATTATAACGGATTCTTTGATCGGGACCCTTAATTTTGTTACACTTGGCATAACTCCACATTAAAAAGAAAAGAAAATAAAAATTGTACAGTGAATTTTTTTTTTGTTATTACTAACTATAACAAAAGCTAAAAGATTTTTTGTACACAATTTCAATTAGGTGAGTAATTTTAGTTTGAAAGAAAATTTGCAATTAATTTTTGCTTCTTTTTCACTCGTTAAACTGTTTTGAAACTTTATGTATACCTATAATTATTGTACTTCTAAACAATTAAAATTAAATCATTTTTGTTTTTTAACATTTTTTGATTTTTTTGATTAACTTATTCATATTTTAAATCGAGTTAAAAAAATTTGTATTTTTGAAATTTTAGTTTGTTTTTTGATATTTCGAAATTTAATTTATTTTCTATTTCAATTTTTTGAAATTTTACATTGAATACCAATTTAGTTGACAATTTGTATATTTTTATTTTTAATAAATTGATTTCTAACTTTTTTGAACGATTTATTTTAAAATTGAATCAAGTTTTACAAAAATAATAAAAGAAAAGTGGATTCAATCGTCTTCTAGAAAAAAAAATAAAACCCAATTGATTGTTTAAATAGATTAGGAAAAAGTGATTAATAAAGATTTTTTTGTAAATATAATGTTAATTTCCAAATATTTTCCCTAAGCTATTAATTTTACACCATTTTTTCTAGGATCAATCATCGTCGAATAAATAAGAAGATGAGCATTCTTCAAAAATGTGTGTCTCATAAATAAAAATCGTTGATTTACAAAATAGAATTTAACTTTATTTACATAATTATTGCAGGTTCGGACAATGGAATTTTTTTCAGGAATGTGAGTGATGAATGTGTCATTTTATTGAAATCATTTACTCGATTTTTTTCCTTATAACAGGATTATGTAAAATGTGAAAATAAAAGCATAAGAGAAGTGTCGATGAAACTCTTCCATAAAAAAAGAAATAAAGTGTTGATATTGGTCAATTACTGGAGTTCGCCTTTCTTGTTTCTTTCTTCTTTTTCCAAAAAGATGTACATTTTAATCTATTATATGTATTATTTTAATAATTAAAATTAATTTCTCTCGTATAAAATACTGTTTTATCGGATATTACTTTTAATTGAAATTTAATTTGAAATTCAAATTCTCTGATTTTGAATTATAAGTAAAAAAATTTAAATCAATGATTTTAGGTATTTTTAAATTAGTCTACGTTTACTATGACTTAATATTTTTATTAACTTTTTTTTATTAATTTTTTTGTTTATTTTTTTTTTATTAATTAATTCTTATTAACTTACTTCGAGCACTTAAAATTTAATTGAAAAAATACTGGTTTTTCTTGCGCTTTATTTTGTTTTGTTAATTGAAAGTAAATAATAATAAAATTTTAAGGATTCTGAATTGTCTAAAATTATTTAACTCAGATTTTTCTAAAAAAAATTCGCTTTTAACTAATTTAAAAGCAAAAGTAAATTTCTGATTTAAAGCCAATTTTTGATGAATAAAATTATGAAGATTTTTGTTTGCTAAAATATTAGCAAAAATGTATAAGTTTCTATAGTTATAATCTACTTCTAAAAGTTATGTAGATAAAAACAATTTAACTTTTTCGATTTCTATACGTGTTAATACAGCATTTTTTCAGTAAATTATTTTTTAATTTGCAGTTTTTTTTATTTATTTTGTGACAAATAGTTTATTTTCAGAAAATAACAATCCTTAAGTCATCGAATGTTTCTTGGGAAATTTTTCGTTGACTAGTTATAACATTTTTTTTTTATTATAAAAAGATTGAAATTATTTAAAAAACTAATAATTAAAAAAATTTTTTTTAACAAATATCACAATTAATTAACACAATTAAAACCGTTTTTTGTTACAAAATAATTTTTTTATTATTATTATTATTATTATAAATTATAAGCTACAAACTTATTTATTTTATTGATCGTTATTTATATTTATAAATATATTTGAGTCAGTGATAATTAATTAATAATAAAAAAGTTGTTTTAATAAAAAAAAAGAAAAAAAAAACGTTATTGTGAAGAGGTAATTAAAACTTTTACATAAACACATTTTTTTAAACTCTTTCTATATTCTTGAATAATTTTTAATTTCAAAGTAAACAAAAAGAGAAATTAAATACTTATTTTTTATAATTATAAATATGTTTATAAAAGTCGTGCGAAAAAAACTAAAAAATAATTTTAAAGTTTCCAAAAACTACTCAATTACTAGACAGACAGAATTAATTTTTAATTAAATTATTTTTTATTCGAAAATTATGGTCTAGATAACATAAAAAGACATTCTCGAAAATTTGAATTTATTTCGCAATTTAAATTTTATTTCCTTATAAAATAAAATCTTTATTTTACTTTAACAGCAATTTAATAAAATATAATTGTTTCTTTCTTTTACTAAATTTAACGTGTAATAAAAAAAATGGTTAATAATATAAAATTAAAAAAGTTGAAAAATTAAAAAAAAAATTGAAAAAAATTCGAATTTGTAAGTTTTATGTAAAAAAAAATGGTTAATTTTCCTAATTGAAAGAAATGTCTTTTTTACATTTGTGTGCTTTTATTAATTTGTGTACGTCCATATCAAAAAGGAGGTACCAATTTTATTTTTACGAGTTGTGAATATTTTCATAAGGTAAGTTTAAAAATTCTTGATGTTTGATTTTCGTAGAGAAACTAATTTTTCAATTACGTGAATATAAAATATTTAATAGAAAAATAAAGAAATGGAAATATAATTGCGAGCAAAGTTAAATAAATTAAGTGTGATTAATAAATTATTATTAAAAGAATTTATTCCCATAAATCCATGTATTAAGAATTTGTCAAACGAGATTAAATCCAATTTACAAAGGTGAGTAATTTACACATATTTTTTTTTATATTTTTTTAATGCGCACTTTTATTTTGAAAATTAATGAAAATCTTTTTCATATGGACCTACACATTTAATAATTAAATTTTTGAAATAAAAATTATTCTCATATGTGAATAAATTTTTTGTATGTATGATCTCTAAATATGTCTCTGTTATAACCAGTATTTGGCAAAGCTGTTGATGAGCGGTCCAGTTGGGTAATTTTAATTAAAAATTCTTTCGACTGTTCTCGATTAAATATGTTATTTATTTAATCGAATTATTTTCTCTTCTTCGCATAAAGGGATTTATTTTATTTATTTAACAAATTATCAATAATTTCATAAAGAGAAAACTTTATTTTGTGTTCCGTTAATTTATATTATTTTGTTCTTTTACAGAAGAAGATTTAGATCTCCGTGTATTACCTCCTGTTAGTGCGAATAAAAGACAAAGTTCCGAGCATGAAGAACCGACTGTTACTAAAAAAAGCAAACTCGAAAAATTCGACGCGTAAGTGAAATTCATACAATTTTCCAAATTTGATGAAAGAAATTAAATTGAAATTAATTTCGGTTGAATTTTTAATAAGGAACAAATTTCATAGCGCATCCTTCAGTTTTTATGAAATTCGGCGGAATATTGTGTAAAAAGATTATGAAAATTTTTTTTTTTTAAAAATTCTACCGAGAATTAAAGTTTTAACTAAATTTTTATTAGAAATTAATATTTTTGAATCATTTCAATGAATTTTAATATTTGAAGAAATATACAAACATTTGTGACGCACACTGAAGAAAAGGTACATAAGAAATATTTTAAGGTTATGTTAGTGTTATTTTAAAATTTTTTTTTTAAAATTTTTAAATCAATTATTTAAAAAATTTTTTCAATTTTTTGCAAACAAACAAAGATTTATAATAAATAAAGATTTCAAATAAAGTAAACAATAAACAAATTTTTCCTCTTTGTAGTTTAACAATAGGTTTAAAGCTGACGGTTTGCCTATATTTTTAACTTTATCAAAAAATATTAATAAAAATATTTTTATAGTTATTTTTTTTTTTGAAAGGAGTTCAATGGTCATAAAAAAATTGGAAAGAAAATATTTTGAACTTTTTGATTTTTGATTTTTCTTAAAAATTCATAGATTTTAAAATCCATCCGTAATTTTGTAGAAAATATATTTTTGAATCCATAAATAAACCGATTTTTACTGTTTTTGAATCATTTTTTTGAAACATTAAAAAAAACATTTCTTTAGGTTGAAAATTGCAAAAAGACCATTGTTATTTGATTGTTTTATTTTGAAATTCATTTGTTTATTTTTCTAATTTCAAATCATAATTTTATTATAATTTGTTTATACTTTATTTTTTATTTTAAAAAATTATGATTTGAAATTAGGGTTAGAAAGATAAGAAAAATAAATTTCCATATTAAAAATCCAATAACAATGGTATTTTTTTAGCATTTTCAACATAAAAACAATGTTTTTTCAAAAAAAAAATTCTTGGAAAATATAGAAAATAATTTTTTTATTTGCCAATTTTTTTTTAGATGCAAAAACACATTTTCTACTAAATTACTGATAAATTTTAGAATCTATCAATTTTTAAGAAAAATAAAAATTCAAAAATGGTCAAAAAATTTTCTGACCGATTTTATTTTATAATCTTTGAATTTCTTTCAAAAAATAAATATAAAATTAAATTTTTTAACCCCTTCAAAGTAAAATCCACCCTTAATTTTGTAGAAAATATATTTTTGTATCCACAAAGAAAAATTTATTTTGACTATTTTTGAAGCATTTTTTAAAAAAAAACATTGTTTTAGGTTGAAAATTCCAAAAAATACAATTTTTATTTAATTTTTTTTTATTTGGAAATTCATTTGTTTATTTTTCTAATTTCAGCTCATAATTTTATTATAATTTTTGTATATTTTATATTTTTAATTTAAAAAAATTATTCTTTGAAAATAGCTAGAAGAATAAAGAAATGAATTTTCCATATAAAAAAAATTGCATAACAATGGTATTTTTTAACATTTACAACTTTAAAACAATGTTTTTTTTTACAAAAAAAAAATGCTTAAAATTATTAAAATCAATTTTTAATTCGACAATTTTTTTGTGGATTCAAAAACATATTTTTAACTAAACTACTGATGGACTTTAGAATCCACTAATTTTTAAGAAAAATAAAAATTCAAAAAGGGTCAATCATTTTTCTGACCGATTTTATTTTATGACCTTGAATTCCTTTCAAAAAATGAATATAAAAATAATTTTATTAACTGCTTCACAGTTCAGTGAAAATAAAGTTTTTGGTGCCATAAATGTTCAAAAAAAAATTTTTTTTTAAACGTGACATCGTCATATTGTATATTTTTGGGGTCACTGAATCGAAATCCGTGGTTGAAAATTCAAAATTCAAAATGTCGACCAAAAAAAATTTTGAAGTAAACGAATTCGTCAACTTTAAAATTTTTTTGGTCGACATTTTGAAGCCGTCATTTTGCATCGCAAGTAAAATTCAAAATTTCGACCAAAAGGAATTTTAAAGTTAACGAATTCGTTAAATTAAAAAATTTTTTAGTTTTTACTTTGAATTTTGAATTTTTGACCACGAATTTGGATTCAGCAACCGGAAAACCCCCGAGTAAGCATTTTCAGACAGAATCGTTTACTTTGAAATTTTTTTGGACGCCATTTTGAAGCCGCCATTTTGAATTTTGAATTTTCATACAGGGCACGACATTTTTGTGCCCCTGTAGAGGTCAATGACAGTGAAGGAGTTAAAGATTTAAATTATTTTCTTCATATAGTTAAAAATGTAGGCGAACCCTCCGCTTAAGAAGATTTCATAAAAATTGAGAAAAGAACAAGTTTTGTTTCTTCAGAAAATTCGACCTTGAAATTAACTTCTCAATTTATATCTCGTAGGAAAAAAAGAATAAAATTTTTATCACACTTTAAATTACAGATTGTTCGGTAATGAAGACGTTGATTTGCGAATGTTGACTAATCCAAATGCGGGACGACCTCCGACACCACCGCCGCCAGTTATTTCCGGTGAGGAAGGAAAAGACAGTTGGGCCAAATTGAAAACCCCCTCGAAGAGCAATGATCGAGACAAATCGGAGAAAACCTCCTCAGACGAGAAACGTGATCGCGATCGAGTGAGAGATCCCCTTGGAAGACCGAGACTCTACAATAAACTTCCCGAAGATCCAAAAGAGAGGCGCCGACTCCTCAGTAATGAGGATCAAGACCCAAGGTTTACGCGACGCGGTCGTGACACGGACAAACACGAGCGAAATTCCGACCGGAATATCGAAATTATTTTGAAACAAGCAGCGGAGCAGTTGAGTCAAGGAGCGATATCGAAGGCTGATTATAATAAATTGATACAGGAAGTTCTGCACATGACGGAGATGCAAAAATTAAAAGTCGCGCAGAGACAGGACAAGGAGGTTGGTTCGATGGTTTGGGAGAAGGGATCGTCAATGGATATGAAGAATAGAATGGGAAACTTTCCGATGAAGGACGGCGATCATCATAGGAAGGAGTATCCAATGGGAAGGAACGATGGACCAAGGTGGCAGCAACCTTGGCAACGTCCCCCTTGGGGTCATCCACCAGGTCCGCCTTTCGGAGGCCAAAATCACTTTAACCCCGATTTTCGAATTAAGGGCCCCTGGCAGAATGCGAGGCACTTCGGACCGATGCGTCCCGATTTTAATCAGTTTCACGGGAATTTTAATCCGAATATGGGTCCGCGAATGGGGCCAGGAATGATGGGGCACATGGGACCGAATGGACCGATTATGCCTAATATGATGGGACCGATGGGTATGGGGAACACACCGCTCCCGATGCCGGGCATGGGATCGATGATGATGAATGGACCTTTGGGGAAAATTATGCATCCTGTTCCTGCGATAGCTCCGCCGGTTCAGAATTCTTCGTCTCCCACGTCGACTCCGAAGTACGAGCAAGAAGAACCCGAGGGGGAAACTAACGGACCGGTGAATAAGAATTCTTCCTTCAACTGCGAGTTGCCTACGCCGGATCAGAAACTCCTGGACGAAATCTCTAACGACGTGATGAGGTCCATTAAGATCGATAACGTCGAGCGGGAGATTAGATACTATGACCAAACCGCGGTCGTGTTTCTAAGTTGGGACGATCCTAGGGAAATCGGCTTCCAGGACGGAGTGCGAAGAGTCCTGATCGACGGGAAGGAGACCATCACCTGCGCCTTTAACGAACCGTACAAAGAATTTCGGTACAAGGACAAAGTGCATAGAATAAAACTCGGCGGACCAACTCGGGAGTTGTACGTCGACGACCGTTGGTATGAGTGCTACTTCGGTGGACCGCCGATCTCAATAAACCTCGATGGAAAAATAGTTAGTGTCAAACTAGAAGGACCGTCGCCGCAGGTGAAAATCGGTACCTCAAAGAGAACTGATCTAGTGGTAGGAAAAATAAACCTCATCATCAACGCCAAGGACATGGTTCCCCTCTTCCTAGACGCGAAACCCCAGAACATAAAAATCGAGGGCAAGTCCCACACACTAGAATTCATCGACTCTCTCAAGACCGCTCTACTCAATGGCCAACCGTTCAAAGTCGAGTTCGGCGATCTCCCCAAACCAATAATCGTCGGGGGCAAAAAGCATTTCATCAGATTCTCCGTCCTGCCCAGAGGCGTTCGTGCAGGTCACGTGAAAATTAACGGAATGAGAGGAGAAGGACCAGTCGAATCTCCGCCTTCTTCGCCGAAAGTCAGTCCGAACACGAGTCTCGAGACGCCGGCTTCGACAACAACTGTGCCACCAACCGCCGAACAGGATTCCACGTCGCAAGATGGCTCCGACTTCCCGTCGACGAATCCGAATCCGAATTTACAACTGGATATGTTGTCCTCGGTCCTACCTTCGGCGATGGCTCCGTCTTCGGGACTCTCCTACCAGGCGGAACCGGTGGAAAATCCTCCTGCGCCGCAAGCGCCGGTTTTGAATCTAAATATGGATGAGTTGTTCCAGAGATTGGTGGAAACGGGAATTGTGGCGAATCTTTCGGAACCGAAGAAACAGGAGGAGCCGGAGAAGGAGAAACCGGAAATTATACCGGTCTCGTTTGATGACGATAAATCGTTGAAGGTGAAGCAACCGGCGGTCATTGGTTTATTGTACAATGGAATGCAGTGTAGCTCTTGTGGTTTGAGGTATGCGACACCGGAACTCACATCTAGGTACAGTCTTCATTTGGATTGGCATTTTAGACAGAATCGAAAAGGAAAGGACTCGCAGAGAAAGGCTCATTCACGAACGTTTTATTATGATCTTTGCGATTGGACACAGTATGAAGAAGTTGAGGATCTTGAGGACAGAGGTGAGTTTTTTTTATAATCATTTTTTTTTTTTTTTTTTAATTCACAGTTAAAAAAGCTCTTCATTTTAACATTTAGAAGTGATACCATAAATGATTCTAGAAATTCAATTATTTTGAAAAGTAATAAAATTCTTCGCAGACATTCAATTAATTGTGTTCGAAAATTGAAAAAAATCCTCGTCAGAATTTCAAATATCTTTAAAAATAATAAAATTTTCCTGAAAATGATTTTTTAATATATACATATCACTGGATGTACGAAATTTTGAATTTTTTAAAAATAATAAAATTCTTCTTCAAAATTCAATTATTTTTAAAAATTTAAATAAAATTCTTGGCAAAATTACAATTATTTTAAAAAATTTTCCTCAATTTAATTGTTTTCAATATCTACTATTTTAATAAAATTTTTCAAAAGAATTCAATTTTTTTTAATTTTTAATAATATTTTGCAAAAGAATTTCAATTATTTTATCAAATTTTAATAAACTCTTCAAAACAATTCAATTATTCTTAAAAAAAAGTAGTTAAATTTTTTAGCAAAAATTCAATAATTTTTAATGCAATTTTTAAAAAATTTCATGAAGGAATTCATGAAAAATAATTGAAATGTTTTGAAGAATTTATTACAATTTTAAAAAATAATTGAATTTTTTTGAAAAATATTATTAAAATTTTTTTAAAAATTGAATTCTTTTATATTTTTTAGAAAACTTCAATTATTTTAAAAAATTTTTCTCAATTTAATTATTTTCAATAGGTATATCTACTATTTTAATAAAATTTTTCAAAAGAATTCAATTATTAAAAAAAAATGTTGATGAAATTCTTAGCAATCATTAAATTATTTTTATAAATAATAAAAATTCCACAGGAATTCAATTATTTAGAAATTTTTTATAATTTCTTAGCTGTAATTCATATATTTTCAGAAATAATAAAATTTTTTACAAAGATTCAATTATTGTCATAAACAATAATACATATCATAGAATTTCAATTATTTTTAATAGAATTTTAATTAAATTTCTCGAAAAATTTCAAAATTTTTTATTAAAATCTTGGCAAAACTTCAATTATTTTCAAAAATTTTTCTCAATTCAATTATTTTTAATATTTACTATTTTAATAAAATTTTTCAAAAGAATTCAATTTTTTTTAATTTTGAATAATATTTTTCAAAAGAATTTCAATTATTTTGTCAAATTCTAATAAATTCTTCAAAACAGTTCAATTATTTTTATAAATAGTAAAATTTTTCGCAAATTAATACAATTTTTTGAAAAATTTTATTAAAAAATTTTTAAAAAATTGAATTCTTTTATATTTGTCAGAAAACTTTAATTATTTTCAAAAATTTTTGTCAATTCGATTATTTTAAAAAATTGTTGATAAAATTCTAAACAAATATTAAATTATTTTCATAAATAATAAAAATATAATGGCAATTCCACTATTTACAAATTCTTTATAAATTTCTTCTGAACAATTTAATTATTTTCTTAGATAATAACATTTTTTACAGAGAATCAATTATTGTCATGAACAATGAAACTCATTATAAAATTTAAGTTATTTTTAATACAATTTGAATCAAATTCCTCGAAAAATGTAATTATTTTTGAAAATTTTATTAAAATATGTCGAAAAAATTTAATTATGTTGATCAAATTCTTTATGAGAATTCAATTCTAAAAAACATTCAATTATCAAATAAATTCCTTTTTGTATTTAAATAATTGACTTCTAGTAGAATTTTCTAATTAAAATTGATTTAAAAATGAATTTCAGTTAAATTTTTAGATAATAATTGAATATTAAAAGCATTTTGGCATGAATTTTTAAAAACAATTGAATTTTGAAAAAATTTCAAATCAAAATCTTTGAAAATTTGAAATTGTATTAAAAATAATTAAAATCTTGTGAATAATTTTATTATTTAGGAGAATAATATTGAATTCTTGCAACGAATTTTTATTACATTTTTTTTTAAATAATTGAAATCCTTTAAAGAATTTTATTATTTATGAAAATAATTGAATTCTTGCAACGAATTTTATTACATTTTTTTAAATAATTGAAATCTTGTATCAAATTTGGTTATTTATGAAAATAATTGAATTCTCGCAACGAATTTTATTAAATTTTTTTAAAATCATTGAATTCTTGCGAAGGATTATATTAAAGTTTTAGTATATAATCTAATTTTTTTTTGAAAAATTTTATCGAAATGTAAATTAATAAAACATGAAGGTATTAAACTAAAAAAAATTGATAATAATTGATACGAATTTTTATAAATTATGTTTTTAGCACAAAGTTGGTTCGAAACTGAGAAGCAGACAACGGAAGTTGAGAATGCTGTTACAGAAGACGTACCTGAAGAAGCTGATCAACCTAGTGTTCCGACTGGATCAGCAACTGAACTTCGATGCCACGTTTGTCACGACGAATTTAAACAATTTTATAACGAAGAAATGGAGGAATGGCACATTAAACCTGCAGTCGTCTTTGATGGCAACAATTTCCATCCCTTCTGTCTGGAGGATCATAAAGTAAGTCACTCTTTCAAATTTTACCCATTGCAATATATTCTCTTCATTTAAATACTTATATATTTTAAATATTCTTTGTTGCATTCCTGCGAAATAGGAAAAGCTCCTTGTGGTATGTGCTTTTGAATTTGCTTCTAAGTCGCACAGTTATTTATTCTTTGCAATTTATTATTATTATTATTATTATTATTATTATTATTATTATTATTATTATTATTATTATTATTATTATTATTATTATTATTATTATTATTATTATTATTATTATTATTATTATATTATTAATCGGTGTTTTCCTTCTTTTTATTTCAATTTTATTTTAGTACCGCTATTTATTGTAAATACAATGTCGAAAGAAATATTTTAGTAAAACTGAAAATTGTCTTCCCTTTTTGATCAACGTAAGAAATAATTTTAATCGATAAAATAATATTTTTTTTATTAATTATTTGCTCCTTTGCATCTTTTGGAAATGACTTTTTATTCAATTTCATTATTCAGAATTTACTTCTTTTTTACCACACGGAGAGAGAATAAATATTTAATTTTGTAAAATTTCCAATTTAGGGAAAAAATGCGAAATTTTGATATAAAAAATACTAAAATTTATTAAAATTTATGTGAAATTTAGAATAGTTATAATAAATATCAAAAATAATAATTAAATTTTAAGCAGGGTTGTCACAAAAATTTAATTTTGTTTTTCCCTGATTTCCAGACATTTTAATTTTCCTAGGAATTAAGACTTTCAAAAATTCAAACCTTTATGAAATTACACAACTTATATAAATTTAAACTTCCAAAAAATTTTTCAAAAAAAAAAAAATTTAATTATTTCCAAAAATTTTAATAAAACCCTTTGCAAGAATTCAATTATTTTTAAAAGTAATAAAATTTTTCACATGAATTCAATTGTTTAAAAAATTTAATAAAATTCATTGTCAGAATTCAATTATTTTCAAAAATAATACAATTTTTCATAGGGTTTAAATTATTTTTAATATAATTTTTAAAGAATTTCCTTGAAAAATGTAATTATTTTTAAACATTTTTTGCAAGAATTCAATTACATTTCACAAATAATTAAATTCTTCGTTGAAATTAAAATATATTCAAAATCTACTATTTTAATAAAATTTCTCAAAAGAATTCAATTATTTTAAAAAAGTGTAATAAAATTCGTTGCAAGAATTCAATTATTTTCATAAATAATAAAATTCTTCATAGGATTTCAATTACTTAAAAAAAATGTAATAAAAATTCGTTGCAAGAATTCAATTATTCTCCTGAATAATAAAATTCTTCACAGGATTTCAATTATTTTTAATACAATTTTAAGTAAATTCTTTGAAAAAATGTAATTATTTTCAAAAATTTTATTAATATTCTTTGAAAGAATTCTATTATCAATTATTTTAAATAAATTTTGCAAAAGTTCCTTGAGAATAATTTCAAATCCGTTTGTTTACAATTTAATTTTACGAAATTTCGATTATTCGGAAATTCTTCAATTAAATATTTACAAAACAAAAACTTGAAATAATTTCAAAAGAAAATTCAATTAAACTTTTTCAAAAAAATTAATACTATACAGAATCGTTAGTTAAAAGTATGAAAAATTTAAATTTTGAAAGATTTTCATTTGAAACATTTTCAAGATTAGATTAGAAAATTCTACGAGAATTCAATTATTCAAATACACAAATAATTAATTTATTGAATAAATGAATGTTTCCTAAAATTGAATTTTCATAAAGAATTTTATGAAAATAATTGAATTTTTTCGAAGAATTTTAATAAAATTTTCAAAAATAATTACAATTTTCAAGGAATTCGATTCAAATTGTATTAAAAATAATTGTACAAAATTTTATTATTTATGAAAATATTTGAATTGTTGCGAAGAAATTTATAAAAAAAATTTGTAAATAGTTGAATTTCTGTGGAATTTTTGTTGTTTATGAAAATAATTTAATGATTGCTTAGAATTTCATCAACATTTTTTTTAAATAATTGAATTATTTTGAAAATGTTTTTTAAAATAGTATAGATATTGAAAACAATTAAATTGAGGAAATTTTTTGAAAATAATTGTAGTTTTGCCAAGAATTTTATTAAAAATTTTAAAAATAATTGAATTTTGAAGAAGAATTTTATTATTTTTAAAGATATTTGAAATTTTGACAAGAATTTTTTTTAATTTTTAAACATAATTTAATTTTATGATAAGAATTTTATTACTTTTGAAAATATTTGAATTTCTGCAATCATTTGTAACTTCTCCAAAATTCAAGTTTTTCCATTACTTTAATAAAAAAATCCCTGACTTTTCCCTGACCGGTAGCAACCCTGTTAATATAAATTTACTAAATTTCTTTTAAACTTCAGTACTTTTTAAGTATAAAATTTTCGATTTTTGACATTTTTTCCCCAATTTGTAAAATACTGTTACAGAATTTATTTATTTATTTTTATTTATTATTCTCTCTCCGCGCACTAAATAAAAATATTATATTTCAACATTGTTTTGTTAGTTAAAAGTCGCTCGATTCACTATAAAATTGGTAAATCACTATTCCAGTAGAAAATATTTCTTTTATGCTGAAAAAATAAATAAAAATGACGTTTTAACTATTTTTTAAAAAGTAAATATCAATGAAGGAAAATGTTATATATTTTAAGAAATTAAGAAATATTTAAAAATTAAATCAGAGTTTATTTTGTAAAAAATATATTTGAATTGTTATTAAAAAAGAAACATTTTATAATTACAGCGAGCCATAGAAAAATCGGCAGAGGCACTTGAAGCCCTAGTTGCTTTGGAAGAGAATAAAGAATTAAGTACCGAAACAGAGGAGAATAATGTTGAAGGAAAAGAAGTTAAAGGCGAAGACGATGTTGTCTTAGAAGAAAAAGAAGGAGAAAGCGAAAAAGAGAAAGAAACGGAAGAAACAGAAAAAGACGGCGAGGAAAAGAAGGAAGAAATGAAAGAGGATGTAGAAATAGAAGAAATCAAGACTGATCAATTAGATGAAGTAAAAAGCACAATGGAAGTCGACGACACGGGTGCAGAATCTGATCCTGAAATTGAAGTTACCGAACCACCGCCAGCGCCTGCCATCGAACAGATTGATCTTGAAGCAGAGGAGAACGAAGGCGATAAAAGTGTTGAGAACGAAGAAGAACCTGTAATCGAAAAGGAAAAATTGGTAGAAAGTGACGCCACGAAAACCGAACGAGAGTCTTTCGAGAACATCAAAATTAAGGAGGAGCCTTTGGATGAGCCCGTAATTACGGATGGTACGGAATTCAATTTTGCTAATGTGGAAATAAAGGAGGAGCCAATTGAAGTTGAACCAGGTAAGCTTTTCAAATATCATTCTCTTTTTATTTTTAAGAAAGGAAAAAACTTTTTAAAATTTTTCATTTTATTTAGATCGATCAATTATTTATTACTCTATTTTTCTTAAAAATGAAGTAAAAACCGCTATCTGTATATTTATAGTTACTATGTGATTCTTCACGTGTCTCCGTTCATTATTTGCATTAATTTTTTTATTAATATTCTATTAAATTTGAATTTTTTGAAAAATCTTCTACATTAATAATCTTTGTATTCCGGTAATCTGTTCGCAGTTTGCAGTTAGTTGTTGTTTACTTTTTTAATAATTTTTCTTTTCAAATATTTTTAATTTTAAAATTAATGTATTAAAAATCATTGAATTCTTGCAAAGAATTTTGTCAAAAAATTTGCGAATAATTGAATTCCTTCGAATCGATTTCTCGAGAAAAATTTAATAACAATTTTAAGAAATTCTAATTAAATTCTTTTGAAAAATTTCCTTGAATTTATTTTATAAATAATGGAGTTTCTTTAATAAGTGTAATTGAAAATTGTGAGTTTAATAATTATAATTTTTGCGATGAATTTTACTTCAAAAGGATTTCTTGACAATAATTTATTTTAAATTTTTGAAAATAATTGAAATTCTGTAAAGAATTCAATTATTTATGAAAAAAATTGAATTCTTGACAAGAATTTGTTTCAAATTTTTGAAAATAATTGAAATCCTCCGAAGAATTTTATTATTAATGAAAATAATTGAATTCTTCCAAAGAATTTTATTTTTTATGATGATAATTGAATTCTCACGAAGAATTTTATTAAAATTTTTGAACATAATTGAAATCCTTTGAAAAATTTTATTATTTATGAAAATAATTCAAATCTTGCAAAGTTTTTTATTAACATTTTTGAAAAATAATCTAATTGTTTTAATGAAAATTTAAATTATTTGTATGAATTTAGTTAACATTGTATTGAAAATAATTGAATATTTAGGAAGATTTTGCTAAAAATTTTAGAAAATAAATTAATTCTTTTGGAAAATTTTATAACGAATTTAAAAAAAAATTGAATTCTTTCGTGAAATTTTATTGATAATAATTGCATTTTTGCAAAGATTTTACTATTTTAAAAAACAATTGAATTGTTTCCAAGGTTTTATTAAAATTTTGTTGAAAATAATTGAATTTTTGCAATAAATTTTATCTTCTTAAATGTTTAAAATTTTTAAATTAATGTACTTAAAATCATTTAATTCAATTATTTTAAATACAATTATAATTGAATTCCAGCAAAAATTAAACTATTTATAAATTCTTCCTAAGAATTTAATTATTTTAAATACAATTTTAATATATATAACTCTTCTCAAAAATTCACTTATTTTTTAAAATTTTGCAAAAATTCAATTATTTGTAGAAATAATAAATTTTTTCGCAGGGATTCAATTATTTAATAAAATTCTATTCAAGAATTCAATTATTTTCAGAAATGATTAAATTATCGATTTTAAATAAATTTTTCAAAATTATTATATATTTTTTATTCAGCTAAAATTTTAAATTCCTAAAAAAGAGAATGGAAATTTATTCTTTTCGAACTCTTGAATTTAAAATACTATTTTAAAAATATTTCAAGTTCTTGAAGAAAAAGGATATTGAAATCTGTTTTTAGAATATTTCAGGTTTCTCTTAAAAGACATATTCAAATTAAATTCAGTCAAGTTCACTATATTCAGGGATCCCAAAGTGGCATTTTTTCACTTTTTTAAAATTTGATTATCTATTTTACTCATTTTGGAAAATGTTTACATTTGTTTTTATTCAAACTTTAATTTAAATATTTAATTAATTTATAGGAGAGGAAAATTAATTTAATTAATTTGTATACAGTAGAAGTCATTTTCCCATAACTTTTGATAGTGAAAATGACTAACGATTTTCAGAGTTGAACCCTTCTCGACATTCACATTTCATTTTTATTCAATTTCAAAATTAGTTTATTTATATTTTCAATTTAAAACGAACTATTTAGAGAATTTGTCGTTTAACAAAAATTTACTTATATTTTCTGATTTTCCAGGAAATTTTCGATTTCTCTGATAAATTATAAGTTTTTTAACTGTTGGAGACAGACTTTCAGATAATAAATTCAATTAAATAACAATTAGAACAAAAGAAAATTCTATCTAATATAAATTTTGTTAAATCATCATTTTGACGAGCAATGAAGAAAGATACTGAAGAAGCAAACATTTTTAGGTTATGTTTGTAATTTTTCAAATGAAAATATACAAAGGAGGCAACTCTCAATATAAACCTCTCATTTTTAAGTCTTCATTATATCTAAAATAATAAATACTGATTTCAGTTTTACGAAATTAAACAGAAACTTATAATTAAGGGGAAAATGAAAAAAACATAACCTTATAATGATTTGCTTCTTAGGTACCTTTCTTCAACGTGCTTTTCAATTTAAAAAAAATATAAATTATTTGTAAAAATGGAAAGTAACAGGAAATACTTTATGGTTTATTTGATTTTAAGAAAATATGCGATTTCGTAAAGTTTTTGACCTTTTCAAAAATTGAAATTTCTTTTGGAAACTATAACTTCATTTAAGATGAAAAATACAATTTTCCATAACCCTTTTTTTTCAAATGAAACCAGAAAAAATTGATTTATCTCCTTAATCAGAATTTTATGAAAAACTTTAATATTTATAAAAATGTTTTATATTAAAATAAACAGAAGCTGTGCCTGAAATCATCGAACCAACAGAAGTGGACACAACACATGCAGCAGTGAAGTCATCAATCGATGGTAATGTCGAACTTGATTCAGCGCCTGCCACAATTCCAGCTGCACCATCGAAAATCAAAATAAACATCACAAAACCTTTAGCAACAAATAAAGAACCAGAAGAACAAAAAGAGCAAAAAGAGAGTTCTGTTCCTGAAATTTCAGAAGTTGAAAATACCAGTCCTTTAACACCAGCATCCATAAAGCCTTATATCAAATCCAGACAACTTCAAGTTTTTCCGCCGGTGGAAAAAGGTGAAGAAATGTCTGGATTGTGCACAATCATGTAAAAAAAAATTCGAAACAAAAAAACGTAAGTATTTGTTGTGAGATTTAAGTAAAATTTTCAACATGACTTTAGATAAATTAATTCACCATCGAATCAACTTGTAATCTATTATCTCGCGGTATTTTTTCTATTAAAAAAATCGTTTCCAAAAATTATCTTTAGGCTAAATTTTGAATTATTTTTTAACGAATAATTTTTAGTTTTTGCTCTTGTTAAAGGATATTTTTTTATTTCTCGAGTATATAAAATATTTGGAAATTATTAAAGAAATTTAATTTAATTAAGTCCAGTGTCCTTATGGTTGGTCGCAAGTTAAAAACTGTCGATTTATTTACTTGGAAATTAATTTACCGGATTAAAAATTGCATTCTTAATTATTAATTAATTTTTACGAAAATTAACGAATTCTTTCGATATTCAGTGAAAGTTTTCATTTCCTGGCCAAAGCAAAAATACTTTATGAACAATTGCATTTAACTAAACATATGGTTCTTTAAATGGAATTTTTACAATTTCAAATAAAAACTCTTTGTTTAATATTTTTTACTCGGTTATTTGATAATTTGTTATTTATTAGTTATATTTACCAAAAAATTCCAAAGAAGCCGATTCTGTGCTTTCATCTTTACTTTGACTTTCACTTTCATTTTCATCTTTCATTTTGAATAAAAATCTTTCAAAGTGAAAGTGAAATTAAAAGTCAAAGTAGAAATTAAATTACATCATCAATAAAGTGTCCATTATTGCCCTAGGACAATAACGAGTACTTTATTGACCTAGGGTAATAATGGGCTGTTTATTGACCGCATTCAATTTTTTTTTTGCAATTTATTTTTAATGTTCTGGTTTTTATCTTCAACTTCACTAACAAGGAAAACTAACTTCACTAATTAGAAATTTATATAATTTACACAAAATTTACAAAGTGTAGAAATTACATTTTTAAAGACCATATGTTTAGTTAATAAATGCAATTGTTTATAAACAATCCGTTCGGGTTCAGCTTCGGCCGCGAGAGGTATAAATTAACTGAAAAGTAAAAGAATTTACTTTTTGTAACAATTACTAAAAATTACAAGGAGAGAAAATTATATTAAATTTTGTAACAGTATTTCAGAATTTGGTGAAAAAATGCGAAATTTTGTTATAAAAAATACTAAACTTTAAAAAAAAACTTATCTGAAGTTTAGTATAATTATATTAAATATAAGAATTTTAGTTAAATTTTAATATAAATTTACTAAATTTCATATTATTTCTTTCACTGTTTAGTATTCTCTATACGTTTCTAAAATTTCGAACTTTCAAATGAACGAAAATTTTTTCCCTTTCAATATTTTTCAATATTATTATTTTTTATTGAGAAATAAAAGATAAATTTAACATACATTAAGAAAAAAATTCATGTTTTTAATTTGTAAATTAATATTTTCTACCAAAATTCAAATTTCAAAAAAGTAACAAAAAAATTCGTTTATTTGAACGTTTAGAATTTTAGAGGCATTTTTCTATGTCAAAATTTCGATTTGTTGCACTTTTTTTCTCAAATTGTAAAATACTTTTTACAAAATTTAATATATATTTTCTCTCCGAGAAAAAAAGTGTATTTTTAGTGGTTTAAATTTGCAAATAAAGAAATTGACCATTTTTACTTGCGACCAGTCATTTTGTGGGTATTTTCGAACAATTTTTTTTCCTTATTTTATTGAAAAATTCAGTCGCCATCAATTATGAAAAATTGTCAATCAGAAAAGAAAAAATTGTCCCGTCAGGAACTATCGAAATTAATCGAAGCAAAATTGAGAAATAGAGACAATAAAAAATTTCGTTAAACAAAAAAAAAATTAAATTAAATTTTCTCACTTATAAAAAAAATTAAGTTTGTAAAAGTCGGGCAAAAAATACAATTAGAATTTCTACTTCGCGATAATGATTCCATGTTGATTTACTAGCTTTTGGTTTAATTTAAACAATGAAAATGACTTCTCGCAACAAGAAAAATTTAATTTTGTAAAAAAAACGTTTTTAGGTTTATTAACCCCAAAAGCGGTAGTTGGTGTATTTCGTTACTTTTTTGTTGATTTTTTTATTCTCATGCAGACTTTTTGCCCGAAATAGGCAATTTAATTAAAATCTTATAAATACAAGATTTGTAAAACGAAAATACTTTTCGCTTGGGGTAATAAAGTACCCCAACAACCGCTTTTCTGGTTAGTAAAATTTTAACCTCGAATTGATATCAAATCCTACACTTGCGTCTCTCGTCTTGAAGAATTCCTTTCTCTTGGATTCAATTTAAGACAATTTCCAAAACAATTAAAAAAACAACTCATTGTAACTCATTATTTTGTTTCTCGATTTTACAAGCAAAATTCGACTTTAAAGAAACAAGTAATAAATACTTGGACATTTTTTTAAAACATTACTATTAATAGTAAGACTTGAAAATTAATATAATTATGAATTTAGGAAACAGGATTTGAAAATTTCTCGGACACACCGAACAGTAAATCAAATCCTCAGGATTAATCCAAGAGTATTTTTTTTTTTTAGTCCCTGAATTTCAAAATCAGTCCAACGTCCAGTGATTCGTTCGAACGAATCCGGTAAATACATAAAACAAAATTTTAGTTTACAATCGCAAGTCGAGATACGAGAATTATGTTTAATTTTTTCAAGACCAGAGAGCAAATAAAAATTTTAACGACTTAAAAATGTCAACATCACATTTTTTTTTTGTCAAATTGATGATCAATTATGGATCAGATTTTTCAACCAGTGCTGACATCACCACATAATGCAAGGAAACGAACATTAGCTTTTCGAAAATTGATTCTTTTTAGATATTTATTAATTGAAAAAAAAGTTAAATGAATTTCTGATCTGAATATACTGTGATTTTTTATAAATAAAAATAATCAAATCAGGATTGTACTTTGATCTCTTTCCCATTTTGCCGAATGTTTCGTTTTCATTTGCATTGTGTTATTTCAAAAGGGGAATTATTAATTAATTATTATTAAGGATTATGTTAAGTTACTGAAAAATGGACGTAAGATTAAATGAATTTTAATGAGAGAATATGTGAGAGAAGAATGAGAGAAGAAAATGTACATAAATAATTTAATTCAAGACACAGGGGAGATGATATTTTTCGTTTCACAAATTCCCTCGCCCTTGTGTCTTTAATTTCGCTGTATAGTTTTTTTTCATAGTTAAATAAGATGATTTTAAAGATATTAGCATTTTTTCGATAATCGTATCGAGAAAAGAAAGAAAAACAAAACAAAATGCATAATAGAATTTCATACGATTTGTACTTTAAATGATGAGAAGTAAATTGTGCGATATAAGATTACTTATTCAATTTTTTTGTCAGTATTTCGACAAAGAGAAAGAGTTTCGCCGCCTTTTTTTTAATAAGTTAAAATGCTGTACAAAAAAAAATGTGTGATATGCGTTTAAAAACTGTATACATAGATCGGAAAAAAATGTTACTGCTGATGATGCAATTTTTTTCACCAATATTATTTTCAAAGTAAAAAAAAAATAATGAAACATTTGTTACATAATGGGGGTTTTGATTATTTTCTTTTTTTCGTTTATCCCTTATTATTCTAAAAAAATTCTAAATACTTGAATGCGAATTATTCGATTATTCAAGAGAATCGTATTTAAGAATAAAGTTTACTTTAAAAAAATAATTTCAATCTGTTAGATTAATTCTGCTAATAATGAGTATAATAATAAACGTAATATTAAAAACAAATAAAGCATTAAACTAATTTGTACTTGGTGTTAGATTAATTAAAATAAAAATTTAGTTAAGCAATATATTGATTCTTTTTTTTACGATTATCCACCTTTCCTCTGTTTAATTATTTAAATTCTTTAAATTACAATTTTATCCATTTGTGATTATAGAATTTTTCTCTTCTATTTGTGAATCGAAAACTATTTTCTAAAAGTAGAAAATAATTGAAAAAAGAAAATCGGACGAAGCGAAATTAAAATCTTTGAAAGGAATTCGAAATCCTCGATGATGACACTTTGTTAGTCGACGAAGAAGCGAAACATTGGATGAAAACTTGCAGTTTGAGGTAAGACCTGAAAGCATCGATTTCGTAGAAACGTCAATTACAATGAAGTCATTCACTATTCACCTTGAGGAGAAGAAATTACTTCTAAATTGTCCTTTCTTCAAAAGAAGAAGAAAAAGAAGAAGAAGAAGATGATTACTTTCGTTGCGTATTTTCAAGCTTCTCCTCACGATGTTTAGTTCCAAGTAAAATGACGTTTAAACAGCATAAAGTTTCTCTTTTCTGTTGATATGATAATTTTCTAACTATCATATCATTTGTTGTTGGCCAGGGGATAAATCAATAGACAGGAACCCTGAAAAACTTTATTCACAAATTGCAGTTATGTGGCCATCGAGGAAAAGGAATGGTGTCTTTAATATTGGCAATGCCAAGAACAAATTGTAAATATCTTTCAAAACCCATTCCAAATCCTCCGGTTGGCACGTTACCAAACTTGCGAAGTTCTAAATACCAAGCAAGATTTGGATTCGGTGGCATTTTTAACTGTAATTTCTCATAATTATCTTCACGTAAACTGCCTCCAATAAGTTCTCCGACGTTCGGCACAAGAAGATCCAATGCTTCCACCTTTAACATCCAAGTTGCATTAATATTTTTTTCAAATTCAACATTTATTTATTTAAAATAGAAAAGAACATATTTGTGAATCGTTTTCCACGAAAATGTCAAATTCAAAGATTAAAAACAAACGAAACTAATATAATTTTTAGAATTTTATCAAAATTCTATCAGAATTCCTATTTTTTCGTCTACTTTAAAATAATTTTGACGAGCTCAGAAGAAAGGTACCTAAGAAGCAAACATTTTTAGGTTATGTTTATAATTTTTTAAATGAAATTACACAAAGGGGATTAGCTATTATAATTATTAGTATGAACAACTCATATTAAAATCTTCATTATAACTAAAATAATTAATAAAAATTTACTTTGGTTCTTAAAAATTAAACAGAAAATTTTAATTGAGGTGAAAATAATAGAAACATAACCTTAAAGCGATTTGTTTCTAAGGTAACATTCTTTGAAGTATTCTTTGAAGTGTATCACAAATAATTTCACAAATATTAACTTAAATTTTAATTATTTTTAAAAATAATAAATTAATAATCTTCTGATATATGGAATTTAGCGCTTGGTAAAAATATTGAGATAAATTAATAACTTGTTTTATTATTAATTTACTTTAAAGATTTTATATTTTTTGTCGTAAGTAGCTAAAAATTTATCAAAACAATTTTATTTTTGGCTCGGGAATTTAAAAAAAGGTCTGGAAAAACTGGAAAAATCATGGAATTTTAAAATCAGTTTTTTGTGGTAACCCTGAGATACAAAAACAGTCTGAAAAGTCGTTTATCTCATTCAATATTCACACAAAAATTATATTTTTCATTTTCCTGCTCATTCACTAATTTCCAAATTCAATTATTCAAAACTTTAGTAATTTCGTTGAATAAATATTTAAAAAAAAATAGTTATTTACTTTTCCACAGGAATTAAAATTTTAAAAAATTACAAATTTCAAACCTTCTGAAATTTAAGTAATTATTTTCTCGAACTTTTAATAAATATTCAACTCTAAACCATCTACCTATAATTACAAATTTCCAAATAATTGGAATTTACCTAGTAAAAATTTTTTAAAATAATTTAATTTTATAGAAGAATTTTTGGAAAATACTAAAAAATAATCAATTTTTGAAGAATTTTAATTACAAATATGAAAGTAGGTACATGACTTGTGTAAAATTTTAATAAGACTAAAAAAAAATTTTTTTTGAAGATAATAATTGAATTTTAAAAAATTATGATATATAAAAATTGTAAGAATTGTTTTTTTTAAATATTGTAATGTAATTTTTAAAAAATAATTTAATTTCTTAATAAGAATCTTGAACAATTTAAAAAACTAATCAATTTTTTGAAGAATTTTAATTACAGAAATATTGATAATTGCTTTCTTAAAAAAATTTTAATAATACCTAATTTTAAAAGAATTTGATTGTAATTGACAAGTAATTATTTTTGAAATATTTATGAATATTGGAAAATATGTATAAAAATTAAAAAGATTCAAAGTAATTGAATTTACAAAAATTCTAATAAATATTTTTTTGAAAAATATTTTAATATAAATTTTAAACCTTATTTTCATTAATCTTCATTTTAAGTTTTTTTTCATAAATATTTTTGCTTATTCAATGTTTTTCTAAATTTGTAATTAAAATTCTTAAAAATTTTTAATTAAATGTTTTTAAAAAATCAATTTTTTAAATCAAATTTTACAAAATTTCAATTATTTATAAACCTTTTAATTACATATTTTAAAAATTTAATAATCATAAAAGAAATATTCAAAAATTATTTTTGAAAGATTTGACAATATTTATTTTTCACAATATTAAAATCAAAATAAGTTGCATTTTATACTAAAAAATGTAGTATTTTTATGTAATATTCGGAAGAAAAGTCGCAAATAGTTGCATTTCTTTAAAAATAAAGTCTAAAAAATTTCACTTTTTTTAAAAATTGTCGGTAAAGTCCCAAAATTCATAGTATCCAAGGCTTGACAATAAATAATTTTTTAAACTTTTTATATATTTTATTATCATAAACATAAAAAAGATCTACGTAATTTAATAAGCAATCATAACCTAAAAAATCAATTTAAAGCAAACACAACCTCAAATTATAGCTAAAAATTAAAAGTTAATAAAAGAAAATCTATTTAATAGAATTTTAATGCAAACATATTTTAAGTAATACCGCAAAATTTGACATTTTCGTGAAAATCGTTAATTTATAATTACAATTCTAAGATAAAAATAATAATGAAAATTTTAATATTATTAATTTTCGGTTCATTTAAAGTGTTTCTTTGCTTTTCGAGAAACAGAAACAATATAAATGTAATATTTTGAATGAATTCCAGGTTATTAACCTTTAGACTGCCGGAATCAGATTTTCAATGTTCAAAATGGCGGATACAATATGGCCGATTATTTTTCAAAAATCCATCGAAATTGCTTAAAATTTACCACTCGGGGTTTTCTAGGTCGCTGTTTACCAATATATGGTATCAAGATCATGACAAAAAACCTTGAAACTCACAAACAAAAAATCTGAAACTATTTCTTTAGATTTTTTTAATTCTACATCTAACGCAACAAGTTAGATTTTTAATTTTGTAAATCTGATGTCAGCTTCGTAATTAGAGACCCCAAAAATCCCCGAATAACCATTTTCAAGCCTTAAAGTACACACTTCAAAAACTTACGTTCGATACACACATGGGCATTTTTATTATTATTATAAACGATTATTATTGTTTTAAAATTTATAAAAATTTTATACAATAGGTAGTTTCAATAAAGCAGCCGTATAATTCAATTTAGAATTGAAATATAAGACATATGAAACATAAAGTAGAAAACAAACGTTATAAACAAAAAATACAGTGACTCATAAAAACCCAGAACACAACTATAAACAAACCCTGCAATACTTTGGAACCTTATAATATATCTTTGTCTCAAATTGATGAAATTCATTTAATTCTTTTTAATCGATAGGAAATGTTCTTAGGAATATGAAAAATATAGTTTCGTTAATGTAAAATTAATTTTTTAAAAAAATATTTAATAATAAACAATGACATGTTTTTAAGAATGGAACGCATTTGAACAAAACACCGGGGCGATTTGTACTCAGTGTGCACTTTAAGGGTTAACACAAGATATACTTCAGATAAAGTCATAATATTTGTGGATATTACGAGGGGCTTTTCACTCATGAAATAACGTAAAATTCTGGTTCAGATCTTGTCATACTCTGTATCAACAAAACTACAATTATGTTAGATTTCGTCAAAGTCCGTCACTGAACGCTTGCGCTGTGCGCGCAAGGAACAAGGTAAAACGCTCAACTTCGCATGATTTCGTAAAAATCTGTCAAGCAATGTTTAAATGATTCTAATGGAATCTTAAGTGAGTAGCCCCTCGGGATATTATAAAAAAGTTGTTCAAACCCTGGCAGTCTAAAGGTGAAAATTCAAAAACTTAAAAAGTTAATTAAAATTGTGATCGGTGTTCACGTTATTGTTACCTACTTGCTCCGTCCATTTTTTTTCTCTTTCTATTGTCTTATCTTAGTTAAAAAAACGAAAGAGGAAAATGGACGGTGGAATAGGTAATAACCAGATAGTGTATTTCTGTTTATTATTACCTTTGAAGAATCGTCATCGCATTCTCGCATGTAGAAGGGTTTGCCTTCCTTGGGCCAATTGACGACGAAAACAGGTCCATTGCTGTGATCTACTAAAAATAATTCATGCTCCTTGGATAAAGGATCTCCGTATTTCAGAGGAAACGTGAGTCGATTTCCATGATTCTCCAAAATATTCACTGCCTCGTCATAAGTGATGTAATTAAATTCTTTCTCTAACCAAGATGGTTCAGGCGATCCCAATTGACGCATATCATAAGCGCCTTTCTCTACAAGAGTTCTCGTAATATTTTTCACGAAAATTTCTATCTCCTCAGCCATATCTCTAAGAGATGTGATAAATGCAGTTTCTGCTTCAAGCATATAAAACTCGGACAAATGTAATCGAGACTTTGAATTTTCAGCCCTGAACGAAGGACCAAATGTAAAAACCTTGGTAAGAGCCCTGAAAATATTCTATTATTAAATTAAAAAAAAGAAACTCACAATTAAACTTGATTGAAAAATAATTTTTTTGGTTAAATAAATTATCCTCCTAATTTTCGAAAAAAAATAACAAATTTTTAAAAAATATTCTTTTGAAGAATTTTTGGGAAAACTAGCTAGCCTAGAAATAATCACCTCGCTGCTGCTTCCAGGTGAAATTGTCCGGAAACAGTGAGATAAGCTTTGGTATTAAAATAACTACTTTCTTCACTGACCCCTTCTTTCTTCATCGATTTTAAAATTTCCTGCGAGTCTGGTTGCACGACGAACACTTCTCCAGCTCCTTCACAATCGTTCGAAGTTATAATTGGAGTATTAATGTTAATGTAGCCGCGATTTCGAAGTTGATCGTTAATAACCGAAGTGGCGATGTCCCGTAATCTTAACGTACTCGCAAAAGATTTTGTTTGTGGACGAAAATGTAAAAATTCTCGCACATATTCACTGGAATACACTTTTCTTGGATAGAATGGATACCCATCAGTTACCACACACTTGCCAATTAAATTAATGTCTTCTGCGCGTAATTCCATTCTACCATTAGGAGCAACTGATAACTCACCTTTAACGGAAATACTACTACCATATGTTAAATCTGTCGTCGTATGCTTGGATTTATCAACGGCAACTTGTAAAAATTGTCCAGTCGAACCATCACTCAGATCTATGAAGACCATTTCTTTCATCTTCCGAACAGCGCGTATCCAACCCTAGGAAAAGTTTTTCAAAACTATATTGCATGTACAAATACTGATGAGTTATTATAAAAAATATTATTAAAAAATTATGAAATTTAATAATTAATTTTTTACCTTAATTTATCTTAATTTTTTCTTTAAATTATGAATTTTACTTTTCATTAAAATAGTAGATAATAAAATAAACGAATAGATTCGGACTAGTGGATTTTTAATACAAAATTCAACGTTTCGAAATCAATACGATTTTCTCTAGAGGGAATCTTTCTGAATAATACAGAAAACAAAATTACATGAACACATTAAATGAAGATATAAAACTAAAAACTATAAAAATTATAATAAAATAAATACAATCGGGTGTTATGCGAAAAATGATGATAAAACAAAATATAAAAACAAGAACTACGCAATACAATATTGAAGGTTAAAATGAATATAAAAACATGAAAAAAAAGTGACTTAAAAATAAAAATATCAACAATAAATAAAATGTTTTACGTTACTAGTCGAAGGAAAAATGTAACCAAACGTTGGAAGATAAGAGTTTGGAATAAAGAATTAAAGTGATAATAGAAAAATTAAGACAATAATTGAAAACTCACTTTTTTAAAATAAAATTAGCAATTTTAAAAATAACAGAACGTAAAAATTTGTTATTCAATTTTTTTTTATAAAAATAAAATATGAATTGGAATACCTATGTAGTTTTAATATTATTATAATTAATTTGTAAATTAAAAAAACAAAAAAAAACAAAAATCACAAATTATTATAATTATAATAATCATATATTCTGACACATAGGGAATTCAGGGAAAAGTCAGGAATTTTTATTGAAAGTGCTGAAAAAAATTAAATTTTTAAAATTCATAAGAAAGTTTTGAATTTTGAAGTCTTCTTTGTTTGACTCATGAACTAAAATTACCATAAATTCTAATACAAAACCTTCAATTTTTTTCATTTCTGACAAAAATTTCTTTTTCAATAACTTTTAAATCTTGAACAACTATCATGAAATAAATAAATTATTTAATGAATAATTTTACATAAATATTTATAAATTAATTGAATTTTAAAAGAGTCGCGTCTACAATTTTCAGAAATAAATTACCTTCAAACGGTTTCAATTTGAAATTTTTGAAAATTTCAATGTTGAATGAATTTAATTAGAAATTTTAATGAACTTAAAAAAAAATTAAATTATTTTTAAAAGTAATAAAATTCTTATCACAAAATTCAATTATGTATGTTCAAAATTTAGAAAAAAAATCCAGACAAAATCCCAATATTATTATTTTTAAAAATAAAAAAATTCTTTTTCAAAATTCAATTATTTTAAAAAATTTTCCTCATTTCAATGATTTTCAATGTATACTATTTTAATAAAATTACTGAAAAGAATTCAATTATGTAAAAAAATTTTAATAAAATTGTACACAAACATTTAATTATTTTCATAAATAATAAAAATTTCACAGAAATTCAAATATTTATAAATTTTTTATAAGTTTTTTCTCAATAATTCAATTATTTTCAAAAATAATAAAACTCATCACAAAATTTCAATTATTTTTAATACAATTTTAATCGAATTCTTTGAAAAATGTATAACTATTTTAAAAAATTTTATTAAAATTCGTCAAAAGAATTCAATTATTTAAAAATTTGTTGATGAAATTCTTTATGGAAATTTAATTATTGAGTAACATTCAATTATTCAATAAAAATTGTTTTTTTTTATTTAAATAATATTGAATTCTAGTAGAATTTTCTAATAAAAATTGATTTAAAAATAAATTTCACTCAAAATTTTAGATTATAATTGAATATTAGAAACATTATTGCTTGAATTTATAGAAATAATTGAATTTTGAAAATGTTTTAAAGTTAATAACTTTGAAAATTTTAATTTTTCATACTTTTAACTAAGAATTGTGCATAGAAGAATTAATTTTTTTGAAAAATTTTATTTCAATTTTACTTGAAATTATTTTTTTAAAGTTTTTATTTTCTAAGAAAATTGAAAAATTTTAATTGAAGAATTTCCGAATAATTAAAATTTTGTAAAATTGAATTGTAAAGAAATGAATTTGAAAATTCTGATATAACTTTTTCAAAAATTATTAAAAATAATGAATTTATAGAAGAATTTTAGTTAAAAACACTAAAAAAAAAATTTAATTTTTTCAGAAGTTACAAATTATTACAGAAATTCAATTATTTTCAAGAGTAATAAAATTCTTCGCAGAAATTAATTATTAAAATTAATTTAATTATTTTTAATACAATTTTAATCGATTTTAATCGAATTTCTCGAAAAATATATTATTCTTAAAAATTTTATTAAAATTCGTCAAAAGAATTTAATTATTTAAAAATTTGTTTATAAAATTCTTTATAAGAAATAATTTTTAAGAAACATTCAATTATTCAATGAATAATTTACTTTTGTTTTTTAAATAATTGAATTCTCGTATAATTTTCTAATAATAATTGATTTGAAAATGAATTTTAGTTAAAATTTTAGATAATAATAGAATAATACAAATATAATTTACAAACATTTTTTCCCTTATTTTTGAAATGCTTTGAAATAATTTTACAAAGTAATTTAAAGAATTATTACAGATTAGAGTATCTGGGGAAAGACCAAGAAAATTTCGTAATACTTCGGTCTAAAATTTTTTTTTGTATTTATATATTTCGCAATGTTTAAAAAAAATTATCTATTTCGTGTATTAATAATGTTTTTTTGTAACAATTTTGTAAAGAGAATGGTGATTCAAAAATAAACTGTTGTTTATAAAAATTTGCCATTTTTCTTTGTTCTGAATGAAAAAGTCAAAATATTGAAAAATAATTACAAAATTAGTTTTAATAAAAAGGGAAAAAATTGAAAACAATAGTAATAATCAACAAAATATTCATAATATTAATAAATAAACGACACGAAATCACAATTCAGCAAAGTGTAATAAATCGTTTGAGTTTCAGTAATAACGCTATAATACAGTGGCTATTATAACAGATGGCTTGGAACTCTAGCCATATATTCAAATTGTCAGAACAATCATTCATGTCAAACGACATGTTAATAAAACGTACAACGCCAAAATAAAAGTCAATTTGTGGTTGACTGGTTGTGACCCACTCTATACCCTTAATGTTGAAAATTGTTAGTTTTACGCAGTTTTTGGAAAAACTAATATTAAATTGCAAAACGGTTAGTTTTGGACTCTTATTTTATAAAACTGCTTTACAAATTGCTATAATTTAAAGTTTATTCAGTTTAGACCGTTTATTAAACATTAATTTAAAAACTTTCATCACATTATATTAGTTCTAAATTTTGCGACACTTTTATTTTGTCTTCTACATTAAAAAGAAATATTTTATTTATTTCTTTTGATTTCTTCGATTCTATAACTGACTCCACAACCTTGAATTTTCGTTTTAAAATATTTTTCTAATTATACTTTCACAGTCAATCCAAATATTTTAATCTCTAATGTCAAAATTACCAAAAATTATTTTCTAGAAAATAATTTCGGGCTCTTTTGAGCCATGTCTCTAAATAAATTTCAAAAAAAGTTTTTTTTGAAAATTTTTGAACAAAAATTGTTTTTTGAAAATGAAATTTTATTATGCCTTAGCAATGATTATAAATAAATAATTAAAGTGGCAGATATGTAAAATCAATATTTTCAATATCAGAATTTTCAAGTTTAAATTATACAAATATTTTGTTTGCCAACGAACTTTTTCGACAAAAATTAATTAATTTTGTCCCTTTTAAATTACAAATTTTGAAAGTGTTAAGAAATATAATAAAAAGATAGAAAATTTACAATTTTGTTTAAAAATATTATTCAATTATTTTTAATTATTTTGAAAGCATAATTGTCAATTTTTTTTTGTTTTTTACGATTGTTAATTGATTTTGTACTTTTTATTGCTACGTTCGATTATTTTTTTGTGATTTTTATAAATAAGGAAATTTTTGTTAAACTATTTTTCAGCATACACTACTTTTTCCTAATTACGTGACACAAAATTTGGAAACGGGTATTGAATCTTTATAAAATTCTCTCTCCAATAGAATTTGAACGAAATTTCTAAAATTTTGAGAACATTGTTTATTTTGTAATTAAAACAATTAATTTTGCAATAACAATTATTAATTTTTAACAAAAAATTTTTTTGTTTGAAATTTTTTATATCCATTTTTTACTTATTTTGAGTAATAAATTTCACGAGGCCTTTATACAGTTTAAACAATTTTATTACATGATATATTTTTTATGTTTTCAATATTTGAGGTTTACAAAAATCCAAGGTTCATTAAAATCCATTGATTCTATCACGAGATATGAATTTTTTAATTAAGCATTGTAAAAAACTTTCAATTGTTTATAACTCAGAGAAATTTTAATCTTTAAAAAAATCCTTTGAACTGTTTAATAAACTGATAATGAAGTTTGCATTTTACGTGTTTTCAATAGAATACAGTAAATTTGAAATTTTGCTGTTACACTTCAGGAATTTTGACTCATCTTATTTCTTATTATTTTATTATAAATAATAACTGTTTTAAATAATAATCGTTCTTATTGTATTTCGATCAAAGAAAATTCGAAAACCATGCTCACACTACTTTTTAAAACACTTGGAACGTTTGTAAAGAGAAGAAAATTATTTTTAGGAATGAAGACAAATTTCTATTTTTCAAGTTACTTTGTTTAAATAAAAAAAATTATCTTATTTCTTTATTGACAGTGTTACACATAATAAATTTGAAGAACTTTATATTAAAACATTCGCGACAAGAAAAAATTTTAAAACTAAACATATGTATATGGATAACGAAATAGGATATGCATTACATCATCAAGTTTCTATTTTCCAATTATGTCAAAATATTATATTTTTAACAAACATTAATTTATCGTTCAATTTTGCACTGTTAGAAATATGATTTGATATTTGTTGTAAGCAAAATACTTGACACAAATTAATATTTTTGCTTCTAAAAAGGAGAGTACTATAGAAATTAAAAATTTTCTTCTTTTAAAATATTCGAAACTTGAGAAAAAAACATAATATATAATCTAACCTGTACTTTGATATGCTTCCCAACTTCATTTTCTAAACAGGTCTGGGAAATATTGGCAAAATGATGAATTTTACAACTAGAAGCACATGGTTTTAATAATAATAGTTTTGATAAGTGTTTTAAGACCATGATGATTTACTTTTACGAAAACAGATTTAGAATTTCTCAGAGACGAAATTGTGCATAATGGCTGAACAGGGCAAACAGCAGCAAAACCGGAAGTCATCAACAAGGATGAAAAAATCGATAGTGATGAAAAGTGTGCAGTGCGCATACGGTAAAGGTGTATTCAAAATGAGAAGGTAAATGTTCCAGTGTGACGTCACGCCTAGTGTCGTCTTTGGTAAATTTAAAGAAATACAAAAGTCACTATAATTCACTAGCATAGGGAATTTCGTTTTAAGTAATTTATTATGGTACGGTCACAGCTCGGCTGCCTGCCTGCCTGCCTGCAGGTCGTCATGGCAATACATAAGAGTAAGAGAGTCAGACAATTTAAATTATTCGTCTCCTCTCTCTTACTCTCGTGGCGGCTGGCTGCGCAGGCAGGCAGGCAGCCGAGGTGTGACCGTGCCATTAGGGTCAAGTCCCATGGGCCGTATTCTCGAAAGCATTCGACAATTCTCGCATGCGTAAAATGTCGAATGGTTAATGTCGCATGCGACTCTGAAAGTCTATTCTCAATGACCGTTCGAGATAGGTTGTTCGAAAATTTCCGTGTGCGACATTCATACATTGTTGCCGTCGTTTCCAAATACTTATCTGCCAATCATAATTGAGGAGGAAGAGAACTTGACATATGACATTTTTTTTTATATTAAAGTTTTAATATTAGCATTTGTAAATTGAGAATTTTTTACAAAAATGTTAAGAAACTGGAATATGTAATATTTTTTTTTAAAGAAAAGAATCAGTTTGTGAACAATATTGTTATTGAAAAATTAAAATTATGCATAATAAAGGGATATATCCCTTTATATTATGCATAATTTTAATTAATAAATATATATATTTCCTATTTTTGCAAAAAGAAAATTTATTTGTTAATCAAAATTTTTTGTAATTTTATAATTTTAAATTTTATTTTATTTTAAATCTTAAAAAAGAGCATACTTTCAATTTGTGAAACAATATTTTGTAAAGAAAAAAACAAAAGCATACACAAAAACTAACTTTAAAGTGTGAACAGACAGAAAAAATGAAACGAAGATTAAAAAATTAAAAAAAATAAAAAATAAAATAAATATATTGTTAACATGATTCATTCACAAAAATAACACAAACATGTGCAATTTATCCATTATAAATTTTGCATATTATAAATTATTTACATTAAACTTTTATTTCACAAGTTTACTTTTAATTCTTAAACATTACATTTAGGTTATTTTGTATAGTTTTTCTACTTTAGCATGCGGTTCATGTACACTAATACTACTTTATATTATATACGTTTATTACAAGGATGACACACAACCTTATTTTTTACTAGCATTTCGTATACGACTTTGCATCTCGAATGGCCACTACCCACTCGAGATGAACCATTCGGAAATTATCGCATACGACATGAAATCTCGCATGCGACAAGCGTTCGAGAATAGCTTTTTCCATCTCGAATGGTCTGTCGCATGCGACATCTAGGGTCATCGATTCGCATGGCACCGTTTCGCGTTGCGTTTTGTAACTAGGCCATGAGTGCAAAAAAAGCGAACATATATCTTCATCTCTCTCACACTCATGGCCTAGTTACAAAACGCAACGCAAAACGCTGCCATGGGACTTCAGCCTTAGACTTAAATCACTAAATATTTAAACTATTAACTAAATAAATGACAAATTATAGACAAATAAGATTAAATTAATATTAATAATTATTAATATAAGTAGCAAATGTTACACGCGCTTAGCATTGTTCCGTTACGATTACGACCGTTTAAGGTGCTATTGTGGACACAACTTAATAAAGAATTTTTATTGATTAAACTGGCTTAACGCTTTCCGTTTTACGTGTTCTGTACACTGCTATGTCGTGTCTTGTGCAAGCACCTTTAAAACGTAATTTTCAATCCCTACACACATACACAGTTACATCGTAGAAGTAGATTTCGTCGGCTGCAATGTTTTCATTTTAGAATGAAAAGCACGTGTTTTCATTAAAAGTGTTTAATGAATTGAAAAAAGGCTTGATGTGTAAAAACTAATAACATCGATTTGTGTATTTTATAGTATTTACTTTTTGAAGGTAATTAAAAAGTTTATTTTTCAAATTAATATTTTTAAATTTTTCTAGAAATAATTATAAATAGAATTATTTGAATTTCAAAACATACTTTAAAGCCGGTGATTTTATGTTTTTAAATGATCAAAATAGAATATTTTAAAGTTTGTTATCCTGTTAAAAGAATATTTAAAACTGAGGAAAATTTTGTTTACAAAGTTGGAGTGAATAATGCAACACTGGATTATTTATTCCACTAGTGGAATGAAGTGTGCTGTGGGTATGTTATTTTTATCCCACTTAACAATTGTTTTTTTCTAGGGGCTATATTTTTTTAAAAATTCTGGTTTCGAAGCATGTAAAACTATAAGACTTCTAGAGTCCATTATCTATATTATGCTGTAAATTTTATTTTTCTGTTTTTTTTATTAATCAAAAGTTGGACGATCAAAGGAGAGTTATTTTGTAACTTAAAATTTTGCACTTATTTAAAAACATTTTTAATCAATAACTACTTTATGTCATATATAAGAACTTACCAAAAGCATCAATTATTTTGATTCTTATTTAGAAAGTGTTGCAATTAACACAAAAATATGTTATTTTCAATTATTTAAGCAAAATCGAAAAATTTTTCTCGCAATGATCCTAAAACCTTTTTAAGTACCTAAATAATTTAGATAATTAATATTTCAAAAACGAAGCAAAACACAATTTTATAATTTATTACAATTTTTATACAAAATACTGTGTTTCTTTTTTCTTTTTGAAAATTAAAAAAAAAGGAATAAAGGATCACTTATAAGTGTTTTAAATCACAATTTCTCAATCACAATTTTTTTTATCAAATTTTCCAGTTTTTTTTAGAAATAATTAGAAACAAATTTGCATAATTTCTATTTCTTTACATTTTGTTATCAAATTTTCAGATATTTTAGAAACAGGCCTCGGATATTATATCATTTTCGACTTTTTTTTTACTATTTTCAAAAAATGCGACTTTTTTCGACTTATTTTCAAAAATTACTTTTTCTACTTTTATTCCGAATATTGGAATAATTTTTAGTATAAAATGCAACTTATTTTCGAAATTTACAATTGAAAAGAGTTATTCAATAAATATTGAAATTTTGTAAAATTTAATTAAAAATAATTCGTTTTTTTAGTGTTTTTAAAAAATTTTTGAAAATCAACATTTGAAGAATTTTAATTGCAAATTTTGAAAATAATTGAAATTAAAATCCTCGGAAGAATTTAATTTTTAAAACAATTTTTAATATATTTCGAATAAATTCAATTATTTTCTAAAATCTTAATAAATCCTTCGAAACAATTCAATTATTTTTATAACTACAAAAAAATTATATAAAAATATTTTTGATAAAAATAGTTCTTAGAATTTTTGCAATTCTAATTTTTTAAAATTTAATTATTTTTAATATTTTTAAATACAAATTTCCAAAAATTCAAATACATACAAAAAATAATAACAATACAATTTTTTACAATTATTTTTAATATTTTAACAACATATAACTTTTTTAGATTTATTAAAATTTTGGAGAAATCGCGTTTATATTAATAATTAAAATTCTTTAAAAATTCAATTATTTTTTTAATAGAATTTACCAAATTTCAATTGTTTGGAAATTTTTCAATTCTATATACTTGAAAAACTATTATCTTTCATAAATTATTTTAAAAATATTTTTGAAAAATTAATTTTAAGAATTTCTTTATTATAATTTTTTGAAAATTAATTAATAACTTAAAAAACATGGGACAGTTAGAATCATTATAAAGAACTGAATTTTTGTATTTAAATAATAAATCTGTTTATATTGTGGCCTTAAGGTCACAAATTAGTTGACAAAAAAAAAATTTAGTTGACAAAAATTAAGGTCCTGAAAGCATTCTAAGTTGTATTTAAATAATTATGAATTCTCTAAGAACTTTCGGAAAATTATTAAAAATAATTGATTTCGAGAAGAAGTTTGATTAAAAATTGTAGAAAATAATTGAATTTTAAGAGAATTAAAGTTGTAATTTTTAGAAGTTTTATTAAATTTCAGAAGGTTTTAAATAGAAATTTTTTAAATTTTATTTCTGTATAAAAACAAACAAGAAGTATTTAAATATTTATTTAACGAAATTATTCAAGTTTTAAATAATTAAATTTAGAAATTAGTGAAAGATCAGAAGAATAAAAAATAAAATTTTTGTGACGACATTGAATTAAATAAACGACTTTTTCGACTTTTTTCTTTTTTAAATCGATTAAAGCGACTCTTTTTGCACCTTAAAGTCGATCCGAGGCCTGAGTTCGCTAAAACAAATTTTTCATCTTCTGCTGATTATAATTCTTTTTTTGATTGGGTACTACAAAAATTGTATTCTAAATTTTAAAAACTTATATTGTTTTGTGACTTTCGTGAAATCGAAATCCTGACACCAAGACCTAAGACTCAATTAAGACTTGAGGCTTGCTTATGGCTCAATTTTAGGAAAATTATTTTGTTTCTATTAATGTAGCTTAAAAGTGAACCGAAAATTGTAAGAATTCATAAAAGGAAAGAAAGAAACTATATTTCTTCTATGTCTTATTTTTTTTAGAAAAACCATGCAATTATTTATGAAGAGATGAAAGTAGTGATGAAAACAATAAAAACAGTTTTACATAGTAAATATCTATTTGATGAATATGATTCATTTTCTGAACTCTTGTTCAAAAAAAATTCTGTCGAAGACATTACGTGAGAAATGTATGTTAAAATTCATTCGTAATATTAACAGAAATGAAAATGTTGTTATTTTGGGCATTGAAACGAGCTGTGATGATACTGCAGTTGGAATCGTGAATTCTAAAGGGGAAATTTTAGGAAATTCTCATTATTCTCAGGAGCTATTACATACAAAGTAAGTCAGGTGTTTTTCCTTTCATAACGATATTATACAGCATGTTGAAATAATTCTTAAGAATTTTTGTTTCATTTCTTTAATTTATGTTAAAAATATCTAAGTTTAATGAATATATTTATAGGGTCAGTACAATATTTTTTTTCTTAAAGATTTTTTTAATTAAAATATTGTTTAAAATTTTTTATAAAGTTAAAAAAATTAAACTTTTAGAACATTGAAATTAAACCTTTATCTTCATACACTAAATGCTTCCAGTTGTTAAGGATTTAAGTAGTTCTCAACTTAAAATTGAGACCTTTGTTCTTAACATCATATACCAAATAAATTTACTCCATATTAAAAATTGTCTCGTTCGAAGTAAAGATGTAAACAATTTTTTTTAATAGATATGGTGGTATTATACCAGGAGTAGCAAAAGATTTGCATATAAAACATATTACAGAGTTATGTGAAAATACTCTAAAATTAGGAAATTTAAAATTACGGGACATTACTGCTATAGCAACTACTGTTGAACCGGGTCTTCCAATGTCATTGCATGTTGGACGAAAGTTTGGAGTTCGCCTATCAGAAATTGGGAAAAAACCTTTCATTCCAATACATCATATGGAGGCGCATGCACTAGTTGCTCGAATGACACAACAGGTAGTAATTTAATAATTATTATTTATTCTTTGTGTTTTAAGGTTTAGGCCAAAGAATCCAAATTTTGAAGACAATTTTTAGTTAGTCAACATATTTATTATTAATATAATTGTCTCGACGTTTCGATGTTATTTATTCTAACAATATTCCTGTTACTTAACAAGATTAATAGAATTGCTTACTTTTGTATATAAATTATAACAGAATTATTGATCTCAGAATGATGGTCAAACGAATACGAATCAAATAAAATTAATTGAAATTTTAGTCTCTACTTAAAAATATACGATTCTAAATTGTTTGCAGACAATTTTACATTTTATGCGCGGTAATGTACTATTCAAAATCGTTTGAAAACAATTATACAATTAATTTTAGTTTATGGGCGATAATAAAAGATACTAAACGATCACGTTATTCAAATGTTTCAAGAATTCATGCAAAAGCCTCTACTATAATTATGCTTCTAATTGGAACTTGTTCTTACAAATTTAACTGTTCAGTAAATGAAAATATTTATAGGTGCCCTTCATATTTTAACAACTTTCTCCATTTGATAAAGAATAACTTTGTCTCTTAAGTTAGAAAAAAAATTTCTATTAGTAAAAACGGTGCCCATAGAGCTGGAGGTCACCTATGACCTGAATTTCCAGTAATTCATTCTGCGGAATAGAACTTAAAATAAGCGTTGAAGTATTTATATTACTTTGCACGCTACTTAAATATACTTTAATTATGTTAAGGTGGATTTTCCTTTTCTTGTACTTCTCATATCTGGAGGACACTGTTTACTAGCACTTGTTGAAAATGTTGCTACTTTTCGTTTATTAGGACATTCAATTGATACAGCTCCCGGAGAGGCATTTGACAAGGTAATGTTTCAGTGGCAAACATATGTGACTGTCCACGAGAAAACACTCCCAAGCCTAAAATTCTTCTTCTAAAATTAGTTAAATTTTGTAATATTTATTTAATTGATTATTAAAAATAATAGATTTATAGAAGAATTTTAATTAAGAACACTAAAAGAAATTGAATTTTGAGGCAATTTAATTCAGAAATTCAATTATAATAAAGGAGAATGAAACGAAAACATTCGGAATAAATAATATACAAAAAAATACTTAACATTCGTATATCAAAAAATTATAAAAAATATATACTTATTCGTCAAACAGAAAAATAATTATAAAATTTAAAAATATATAAATTTAAAAAAAAAAAATATATATATATATATATAATAAATTAATCTAACATTCATTCATAAATAATAAAAAGGTTATAAAAATATCTTACCAAAAATAAAAATTAATAAATAGACATTCGTCAGCAAAAAATAAAAATAAATTCACCCATCAAACGTCAGAGAATTCATAGAGTTTGGAGTCATAACTAAAATAAATAAGAATCGAAATTATAATAAAGAATTTAGAACGAATAAAGTAAAATAAAAAGAAAATAAAAATATTTATTTTTATATAAAAAATAAATAAATAAAAAATTTTATAATACACTGAAACCCCTCTTATTTAAAGTCTCATTTACTTAAAGTCGCGTTTATTTGAACCCGTTTTTGCTTCAGTTATTTGTAGTTAGAATCAGCCCTAACCTCACTTATTTTAGCTTATGCGCAGTACGCGACCAATGGAAAGATACTTACATTCCCATTGGTTGAGTTCAAACAAAACCAACCAATCATGTCAATTTATCGAATTACGTCATCAAAATAGGTTATGTTGAGAATAACATACCTATAAAAGATTATAAAACCAATTTTGTAATAAATAAATAAATAAACATTAACATCAAGTTAAATAAATAAATTAACACTAATAAACATGGACATTATGATGACATAATCATTATGAAAATATATTTATATTTTGTTGTATATTGTTTATTTTTTGTATATTATTTTATAATTTTTGTATATTATTTTATATTTTTATAGACTCCCTGAAGAGGAAATCATTTAGATTTCGAAACGTTGGAGTAAACTATAATTTTTAAAAACTATTTGTCCGAATGTTTTCGTTTCACTCTCGTTTACTACCTATAATTACTATTTCTCGGACGAAAAAGATTGATTAAGAAATTCAATTATTTTCAAAAGTAGTAAAATTCTTCACAGGAATTCAATTATTTACAAATTATTTTCATAAATTATTCTTCGCAATTATTATCATAAATAATATTTTTTTTACCGCAATTCAATTATTTTCATAAATACATAATAAAACTCACTACTTTCAATTAAATTTTGAATACAATTTTAATGGAATTCCTCGAAAAATGCAATTATTCATAAAAATTTTATTAAAATTTATCAAAGAAATTCAATTATTTCCAAAAAATCTTTGCTACATTTTTATTTATTAGAATTGAAGTATTATTTGAAAAACACATTTTTAATTAAATTTCTTCAAAGAATTCAATTATTTTCCCAAAATTTTAATAAAATTCTTTGTAACCATTCAATTTCATTCAAAATAATTTTAATAAAATTCTTCGTAGAAATTTCATTAATTTCAAAAATTTGTCAAAATTCAATTATTTTCAATGTTTACTATTTCAATAAAATTTCACAAAAGAATTCAATTATATTTAAAAAGGAATTTTAAATTATAATTTCATATTAAAAGAATTATAGCGTAAATTTTTAAAAATAATTGAATTTTGAAGAGATTTCAAATTAAAATCATTAAAATTCTTAATTTTTCATATTTTTAACAAACAATTCTGTAGAATTAATTCTTTTTAAAAGCTTAATAGGTTTTTTATAGAAATTATTTCAAGTTTTTATTTTTCAATATAATATTTAATTGAAGAATTTCCTAATAATTGAAATTTTGTAAAATTGAATTGTAAAGAAATGAATTTGAAAATTCTCAAAGAACTTTTTCAAAAATTATTAAAAATAATGGATTTATAGAAGAATTTTAGTTAAAAATAATAAAAAAAAATTTAATTTTAAAGAAATTATTGCAGAAATTCAATTATTTTCAAAAGTAATAAAATTCTTAAGGATTCAATTATTTTTACTAATAATAAAACTCATAGCAAAATTTCAATTATTTTTCATACAATTTTAATTGAATTCCTTGGGAAAAAAAAATTATTTTCATGCAAATTTTAGTAAAATTCGACAAAAGAATTTAATTATTTAAAAATTTGTTGATAAAATTATTTATGAGAATTCAATTTTGAGAAACATGGAATAAATTATTTACTTCTGTATTTAAATAATGTAATTCTCGTAGAATTTTGTAATTCAAATTTATTTAAAAATTAATTTTCTAATATGAATTTAATTGAAGAATTCAGGAATAATCGAAATTTCGTCAAATTAAATTGTAAACAAATGGATTTGAAAATTTAGAAAGAACTTTTTCAAAAATTATTTTAAAACAAATGACTTAAAGAGGAATTTTAGTTGAAAACAGTTGAAAATTCTAGAAATGAATAATCGAAATGATGAAAATAATTTTTGCGAAGAAGTTACAGTAACAAATTAGCAAGTTTTATTCTTATGTTATTGATTTTCAAATTTAAAATCTCAATTTCCATATGAAAAAATAATAATGATTAAATATTTATTTAAAAATGATGTTATTGATGTTTTTGAATAATAAATAAAACAAGTTGTAAATCCAGATGTTCATTACATGAACATTTTGCTTCCTCTTTATGATCCGCAAAAAAAATTTGCTTCTTCGTGGAGGAAGCATTATCGATAAGCATATATTTAATTTTTAAATCATTTTTAATACAATTTAACATTTATAAAATAAAGTTCATTCGTCTTAATAGAAAGAATAAAATTCTCTTATACACTAATATGAATCTAAATAATCAAAAAGAATTTTAGCAAAAAAGTAAATTTTTCATCTTTAATTGTAATTAATTCTATAAACTTCAATAGAATATATACTTTATATACATGAATCGATTCGTCTTGATGCAAAGAATAAGATTTTTGATTTATTTTTCAATAAATAATAAAATTTTATTGTACAGAAACAAGATTTGAAAAAATTGAATTTTTTTAAAAGTGCAATTTTTTTGCCTATAATTGGTTTTAATTCTATTAATTTAAATACAATATATAATTTATATATATACCAATCGACTCGTCTTGATGCAAAGAATAAGATTTTATTATTTATTCACTTCAATAACCAACTTAAAAAAATTTTTTGAAAAAAAAATTTTTTTTTTAAAAGTCAAAAAAAAAATTTTTTTTAGAATTTTTTAAAGTCTATCAATCCATTTCGAGATATTTTTATGATAAATATACCTGGTAAATTTTAGCCAAATTCATTAAAACCTCTTCGAGTTATCGTGTTCACAAAAATCGGGATCCACACACACACACACATCCATACATACATCCGGACAATTGTTCAGGGTCTTATATAACATAGTCCCATATAGAAGAAAATTTGTTAAAAGGATTTTTAAAAATTTTGTAAATTAAACGACTACAAAGCTTCCTCACGAGGAAGCAAAAAACATAAAATTTTAAGAAAAGTTACGGGGACGTGATATTAGTAACAGTAAAAAATTTATGCAATTCTTGTATCAAATTATCTTCTCATTTTGAAAAGTAATTGAAAAAATTGTGCGCGCTAAAAAAATGTGATATTAAGATTATTTGAATATTTTCAGATTGCTCGCAGATTAAAGTTGAAAAATATGCCAGATTTTAAAAATTGTAGTAGCGGCGCAGCAGTAGAAATTGCTGCCAGTCGAGGAGACAATCCTTCACAATTTCTTTTTCAAGTGCCCTTAACCCATTATAGGGACTGTAATTTTAGTTTCGCTGGTGCAAAAACTTCAGCCTATAACCAAATATTGAATAACGAAAATAACTTTAATATAACTGGAGACAAAATTATTCCTGATGTTTATAATTTCTGTGCTAGTTTCCAATTATTTGTGACGAGACATTTATGCCAACGAACACAACGAGCAATAGAATTTGTTGATAGACTTAATTTACTGCCTGAAGATCGACGAACATTGGTAAATGAACAATTATATTTATAGAATTCTCAAAGCTTTAAAATTTTCTTCTTCATTATAATTCTTTTTTATAAATCTTTTTTATAAATTTTTTTTCTAAAATTTTTTTTTTATAAATTTTTTTTTATAAATTTAAAAAAAAAATTTTTTTTTTATAAATTCTTTTTTATTTTAACATTATTGAAAACTTGTAATATTTCTGTTAATCTCAAGCTTTCTACAAAATGAATCTAGAAAATAATGTATTTATCTAAATCTAAAAAATCTTTAAATTATTAAAAATTATTGATTTACATTACAATAATAATTTTTACAACAATATATTATTTTTCATTATAATTTTACATTATTAGTTCTTAGTTCTCTTAAAATTTTTTTTGAAAAATAGAATTTTATCCGTATTCTTAAAGTGTTTTTTTAATTATTTTAAGGTTGTATCCGGTGGAGTAGCGCGTAATAATTTTATTTTTAAATCTGTAAGTACTATTTGTTCGGAATTGGGATACAAATGCATCAGACCGCCTCCTGATTTATGTACAGATAATGGATTAATGATTGCGTGGAATGGAATAGAACGTTGGAGGGAGAATGAAGGTGTTCTTCATGAACAAGATGACATTGCAAAAGTGGAAATAAAGCACAAATCTCCATTAGGCACGGATTGGACACACAAAGTAGTTGAAGAAAGTATAAAATGTAAATGGATAAAAATAGAGCCTACTTAAAATGTATAATATATATGACTGTTTTTTTGGGTAACTGTTAATAATAAAATATAAAATACTATAAACATGAATTTTACCTAAGAGGCCATTTATAAACTACGTCACACTATTTTGCATAATTTTTTCACCCCCCCCCCCTCACGTCACAAAAAATTAATTCCACCCTCCCTCTAAGGCGTGACGTAGTTTATGAACGGCTCCTAATTTGGAAAAAATATTTTACATTTTTCTATAGTTAATTTATAATAATAATAATAATAATAATAATAATAATAATAATAATAATAGTGTAGAGTTTTTTTGTGATTTGTAGGATCAATAATTTAAAATGAAAAAACTAAATTTTTATGTTTTTTTAGACGTTTCGATCCTAGTTTGGATCCTCTTCAATAATTTTATTAATATTCTGGTTACATTAGTTACATAATTTTTGCACATTGTTGTTGTTGTTTCACTGATTTTTTTAAAAAACATTTAAAATTTTTTTTTTTTTATTAATAATAAAACAATTTTTAACAAATTGAATGCATTGAGATGTGATATGTTTGGCTGTTTCTCACATCTCACGTTTATCTCTATATGTCACATCTCAATGCATTCAGTTTGTTAAAAATTGTTTTATTAAAAAAAAAAAAAAAAAAAAAAAAAAAAAAATTTAATGTTTTTTAAAAAAATTAGTGAAACAACAACAATAATGTGCAAAAATTATGCAATGTAACGAGAATATTAACAATAATAATAATAAACAGAAATTTTTAAATCTAATTTTAATTAATCTTACAATAAAATTAATTTATTCCGATTCAATAAAATTAGATTTAACTACATAATTCACTTATTATTATCCTTTAAGTACTAAAAATGCAATTTTTTTAACAAAATAAAAAAAATTTGAAATATAAATAAACAAAATTCTGTTCTTCTTTGAAAAAAAGAAATAATAATTTGCATCATTTTTATATAAAAATTTTCAAAATTAATAGATTTATAAAACATTTTCTTAGAAAATTTTAAATATATTTAGGAAAAAAAATCCCTATAATCTCTATTTGTTAATTACGATTTTTAACTAGAATATTTTAAAATTTTGTTAAAAGAATTTGCATAATTTCTATTTTTTATGACAATTTTTTAACGAAATCTCAAGTATTTTTTAAAGAGTTAAAAAAAAACTAAAAAAATTTTTAGTTTTTGATAATATTTTTATAAAAATTTTTTCGTTTTGGGGTGAATCCTCAAATTAATATATTTATTTTTTTACATTTATTTTTGTTAACAATTTTTTAAATTAATCAATTTGCATTATTTGAAGAAATTTTATTTTAAGAAAATATTTTTTTAATAAAATTTTTTAATTTTTCATTTAACCTTATTTTTATTTAATACAATTTACATTTCACTAAATTTGCTTTCGATTTGTTCTTCATTTAACCATAATTATTATTTTACTTTTTTATAGCCTTTTTAAAATTTTGCATAAAAAGTGTATGTAATTTTGGAAGAAGAAAAAATTTCTAAAAACCTTGATTATGAATTGCAATATTGTTGTAGGTAGACAAATATTGTTCTTGAGGTGTTATAAGATTTAAATAAAAGAAAATACTAAAAAACAATTGAAAGTCTTGAAATGTCAAGTTTAGAAAAATGATTAAAAAATTCCTTCGGAAATGAATAAAAATTAAAAATGTAATGATTAAATAACTCAAAAAAAATTCCTTTCATAAATTTATCATTACTAAATTTTATACATTAAATTCAGTTTAGAAGAAATTTATATACATTGAAAATATTACTTTTGAATTTAATGAAATCTAATGAAATCTAAAGTGAACAGAAGTGAATTCTAAACATAGTGAAAGAATGCCTAGCGATTTGTTGTCAGAATCTGTGAACAATATTCTTGATGTAGTTGAAACCAGCCTCTGCCTGCCAATTCTCATTTTGATTGTTTTGTGCACTTTACAATTCATTATTTATGACGTCGTTGATATTGGTTGTTCGGCTTATCGGGCTTTTCAAAATTTCTATTCGAACGAAGAAGATTCCTCCTGCGTTATGAATCAGTTAACAGGTATGTAAATTAAATAATATTTTACTGAACAGTATTTCTGATAATTCATTTTTGGTGTATTTATATATTTTACAAGTATTTTATTATGTAACTATATTTACGTTTTCTTTAATTTCAAATATTCGTAGAATATTTATAACTTTTAAAGATCAATATCTTTTTCTATTTTTCATTTCTTTATTTCATTTTTTATTCATTAATTTAATTCATGGATTGATTGTTTGGTTATTCATGCAGTCAAAATAACGATTATTATTTATTATTATTAAATTTTCTACTTTATGCAATAAAAAGTTAATAATAAATTAAATAATAAAAATATAGGTCATGTTGAATGTTTCATTATAAATATTTTTTTGGTTATTAAAAAAAAAAAAAAAAAAAAAAAAAAAAAAAAAAAAAGTTTTTAAATTATAAAAAATAAAAAAAACATGTTTTTCAGGTAATTATTAGCAGTGTTAATGTTCAGTGGTCATAGTAATTTTTCTACTCGAAGAGTATTTAACGTGGCATGTTAACCAAAAATGAAGGCCAATTTTCACAGAGAAGAAATACATTGCAAAAGTATGAAGATTATTAAAGATTTATTACAAGAATATGACTGTGATTATTAAAATAGATTGAAATGATATTTCTAAAACAGACAAATTTGTAACTAACATTTAGTCAATATACGCAACTGTTTATTCTAATAGAAAGATTTTAATATTTATTTAATTGTTTTTAAAAAAAGAAACTCCAAAAATTTTAGGCTAAAAGTAAAAAATTTTTTTGTCAACTTTTATTTTGCTATAATATATTTTGGTATGAAATATGAATTTAAATATTACTCATAAAAAAAAATTTTTTTGGAACTGAAATTCTTCTTTAAATCAATTATTTTTAATAATTTTTGACAAAGTTCTTTGAGAATTTTCAAATCTGTTTGTTAATAATTTAATTTTAAGAAATTTCGATTATTTGGAAATTTTTTAATTAAATATATTAGAAAATAAAAACTTGAAATAATTTCAAAAAAGTTTTCAAAGATTTTCAAAGATTTGAATTTGAAACATTTTCAAAATTCAATTATTTCTAAAAAATAATTCTATAATGCATCTAATATTTAAATATTATTTAAAATTTTAACTGGAATTAATTTTTAAATCAATTTTCGTTAGTAAATTCTACGAGAATTCAATTATTTAAATAAAAAAATATAATTTTTTGAATAATTGAACGTTTCTTATAATTGGATTTTTATAAAGAATTATTTCATCAAATGTGTAAATAATTAAATTCTTTGGATAATATTAAAAATGATTTTTAAGAATAAATGCATTTTTCCAAGAATTCAATTAAAAATGGAAACCAAAAATTTAAATTTTGTCAAGAATTTTATAATAAAATTTTTGAAAAAATAATTGAATTTCGGTGAACAATTTTGCTGTTTATAAAGATAATTGAAATCTTGATAAGAATATGAAAAAAAAATTTAATTATACTTTTTCAAAAAAAAATTAGTTCTATAGAATTATTATCAATAAAAAATATGAAAATTTCAGATTTTTAAAGGTTTTAATTTTAAACATTTTCAAAATTCAATTACTTTTTAAAAATTCTTGCACAAATGGTTTTAATATTCAATTAATATTTAAAATTTTAACATGAAATTCATTTATAAATCAATTTTTGTTAGTAAATTCTACGAGAATTCAATTATTTAAATAAAAAATATAAATATTTTATTGAATAATTGAATGTTTCTTATAAAATTGTTTTTTTAAAGAATTTTATATACAAATTTTGAAATAATTGACATTTTTCGAAGAATTTTAATAAGATTTTTAAGAATGATTGAATTTGTTGAGAAATTCAATTAAAATTGTATTTTAAATAATTGAAATTTTGGCAAGAATTTTACGTTAAAATTTTTGAAAATAATTGAATTTCGGCGAAGAATTTTGCTGTTGATATAAAAATAATTGAAATCTGGTTTAGAATTTTTTATAAAATTTTAAAATAATTGAATTTCCCTGAAAAGTTTTATTACTTTTGAAAATAATTGAATTCTTGTGATATTGTTATTTGTGAAAATAATTGAATTTTATTAAAATTCGTAAAAGTAATTCAATTTCTGTGAAGAATTTTGATATTTATCAAGAAAATTGAATTCTCTCATAGAATTGTTTTAAAATTTTTAAACTAATATTAAATATATATTTAAAATTTCAACTGATTTCAACAGAATTGAAATTAAAATTTTTTAAAAAAATTATTTTTTAAAAAATTTTTTTATTCTAAAGAATATTATTAATTGAAAGTATGAAATATTCAGATTGTCCAAAGATTTGAATTTAAAACCTTTTCGAAATTCAATTATTTCTAAAAATTTCAATTATATATGTAAATTCTCCAAAATTCAATTTTTTTAGAGTTTTTAACTAAAATTCTCCTATAGGATTATTTTTAATAAATAATTAAATATATATGTTGTGGACAAAGTTCAAGTAAAATTATTCGTTAAGTAATTTATAAGTATATAAATAATAATTTTTATGATATTTATTAAATTATTGTATCAGAAATAGAAAAAATTGAAGGTTTTGTATTAGAATTCGTGGTAATTTCATAGATTGAGGCAACAAAGAAAGACAGAAAAATCCAGTACTTCCTTTGAAGTTTAAAAATTAAATTTTTTTCCAGTTCTTTTAATAAAATTTTCTAACTTTTCTCTGACCTGTGGCAACTCTCGACTTATAAGAAAATTTGTTTATTTTTATCTGCTTTAATTTTAACAACTATTTCAACTTATTTGAACTCTCCTTGTGTTGGGAAATGATAATAGAAGTTACATCTACAAGATGGAAACTTTCCCTCATGAAATAATTAATCAACGATCTGATTGGGTTTCGTTGTGCTGCTATATATATTTGAAACACTCACTCATACAAGAGGATTTTATATCCACACTATATAATACTATTGTTAGATTATTGGAAATTCATTTCTAATACTACAAAATATATATTTACCTCACACTGTACAATTAACTCAATTATGAAAGTTCTGTTTTTAATTAATAGCTATGGCACAGAATATTAACTTTTGTTATTTTTTTTTTTTTTTGCAAAAATCTAAAATCTCTTGAAGAACTACACCGAACTAAATGATATTTGCACTAAAATAAAGCAAAATAATTCAATATAGAGAAGAATTATATAAAGTGATTTATGTATCATTTTTTTACTTGAAAGTGTTTATTTATTTTTTAAAAATAAATATTGTAAATTAAAGAGTAAAAACTGGCGAAACATTAAAGAATTTAAAAAAAGTTTTGCTAGCATTAGATTTATTAAATACTGAACTGTCAGTAAAACTTGAAATTAACAATATGTAATTAAATCCAAAATATTCAAAAGAAATTATACTAACTGTTTGAAAAGGAATGCATACTTCGTACTCGATAATTAATTTTAAAAAAGCAGCAAAAAGTATCTTTCAAACTAAAAAAAGTAGTAAAACAGTAGATATCGAAAAATTAAACTTGACAAACAAAAAAACTCGTTTTAGACACTTCACAAAACTGACAAAAATTCCATATTCTATATTTTTTATTTTCCTCACTTTTTCCTAATTTTCATCAAAAATATTTACTTCTTTCTTCGAATTCTAATATTTATGAAACAATTAAATTATTTATAAAAAAATTTAATTCTAGCAAAAAATTTTATAAAAAGTTTTAAATAATTGATTTCTTTCGAATAATTTTATGCAAATTCTAATTTAAATAATTGAATTCCTGAGAAATTTTTATTATTCATGAAAATAATTGAATTCTTACAAAGATTTTTACAAATTTTTTTTGAAAATACAATTGAATTCCTAAAAAGAATTTCCAAGAAAAAATTTATTTCTTTTAAAAATAATTGAATTCTTGTGATGAATATTATTATTTATAAAAATAATTGAATTTTGCAAAGAATTTTATTAAAATGCCTCAAAATAATCGAATTTTTGGAAATAATTTTGTTAATTATTGACATAATTGAATTGTTTCATAAAATTATTTATGTAAATAATTGAATTCTTGGGAAGAATTTTATTAAAATCTAAAAGAATAATTAAAATATTTCAAAAAATTAAATTAAAATTGTATTCAAAATAATTGATTTCTTTTGATCAATTTTATTAAAATATTTGAAAATAATTGAATTCCTGTGAAAAATTCTAATATTTTTTGTAAATAATTGAATTCTTCTAAAGAATTTTCAAAAAATAGTTTTTTAAATAATTGAATTCTACTAAAGAATTTTCAAAAAATATTTTTTTAAATAATTGAATTTTTAGAGGAATTGAAATTAAATTTGTAAAAATAATTACATTCTTTGAGCAATTCCTGTAAAATTGTATTAAAAATAATTGAAATCCTGCGATGAATTTTATTTTTTATGAAAATAATTGAATAGTTGCAAAGAACTTTATTTATTTATTTATTTAAGAAACAGAACATAATTTTATTAAAATTTTCAAAAATAATTGAATTTCTAGGAAAAAATTGTATTATTTATGAAAATTAATTGAATTATTGCGAAAATTTTTATTAAAATGTTTAAAAAGAATTGAATTTCTGTGAAAAATTTTGTTACTTTTAAAAATAATTTGATTCTTGTGATAAATATTGTTATTTATGAAAATAATTGAATTTTGATAGAATTGAAGAAATGAATTTTTGCAAAGAATTTTATTAAAATATGTCTAAAAATAATTAAATCGGGAATAATTTTGTTATTTATCGACATAATTGAATTCTTGGGGAGAATTTTATTAAAATCTAAAAGAATAATTGAATTATTTCAAAAAAATTTTAATTAAAATTGTATTTAAAATAATTGATTTTATTCGATCAATTTTATTAAAATTTTCAAAAATAATTGAATTCCTGAGAAGAATTTTATTATTTATGATAATAATAATAATTGAATTATTGCGATAAATTTTATTAAAATGTTTAAAAAGAATTCAATTTTTGTGAAAAATTTTGTTAGTTTTGAAAATAATGGAATTCTTCATAAGAATTTTATAAACATTGTTTTAAATAATTAATTTTTTCGAAATATATAATAAATATTATGAAAATTTTATTTCAAATAATTGAATTCGTGTGAAATACTTTATTTGTGAAAATAATTGAATTTTTTTTTATTAATTAATTTTAAATAGTATTAGAAATAATTGAAGTTTTTCAATGAGTTTTATTATTTATGAAAATAATTGAATTCTTGCTTAAAATTTTATTAAAAAAATTGAATTTTAATGAATAATGTTATTATTAGTGAAAGTAATTCTTCAATTATTGTGAAGAATTATATATAAAAATTTTGTTAAATAATTGATTTTTTCGAAATTTTTTTGAAAATGTCATTCTGAATTAATTGAATTCCTGTGGAAATTTTATTATTTATACGAAAATAATTGAATTGTTGATAAATTTGATCAATTTTTTGTAAATAATTGAATTGTTTTGCGAAATTTCATGAAAATAGTCGATATTTGAAAATAATTGAATTTCGAATATTTTTTGAAAATAATAATTGAATTGTTTTTAATGAATTTGATTATAATTTTGAAGAATAGTTTTTTGATTTCTAATATTAGCG